ACGATACGGCGTTGGTTGAATAGTAAGGTTGAGGCCTGTTTTATTACCACTGTATGTGTTCTTGTTGTCGGGTGGTGGGGAAGTGTGTTCCTGATGGTGCGGATGCTTGTAGTTAGTTGCAGTGGTTTGGGCCTGGTTGCTTTGGTGCTCTATCAGCCTCTATGTCATCCTGCGACTACTCGGGTACGATGTGGTATCATACTACAGTAGGTATCTGGTGTTGCTTCACCGGATAACTTACCCGTGACTGTACGTATGGTAGTTTAAATCTCCGAGCTCGCTGCTTGTCGCTCGTGATTCTGTTAGATTCGGTCTTCCCTACTAGCCCTAGGAACTGGCTGGGTGCGGTGGGCGAGAGGGCAATGGGGGCTTTCTGTGGCTAGCTGCTTGGTCGATAAGTGAGATGTGGAGTTTCTGGTTGAATGGGGGCTTGTAATACGATGGATTAGTGGGCGGATGGGCGGTACTGTACTCACATCTGTGCAGGACATGGGTGGGGAAGTGCGGGTGGGCTTCATCCGCTCTTGCGCGTTCTCATTGAATCTATCCTGGCATCGTGCCGTTATGGTACAGTGTGGGGACATCTATGATACGCGCCCGGCAACATAGCCTGCAGATAATTGATCCCCCCTCCAAAAGAGTAGTCGATTCATCACACGTATTCCTGTTCTCTGCCTGCCCATTCAATAATGAAAATGAGAAAATGAAAGATGAAAAAGTAGAAAAATAAAAAGAAAGGTACCATATGCGGCGCCCACCCTACCCTATAATTACCAAACCCACCCCACCCCAACTCATTGATGTTTTTGTTCTTTTCTACTGGTAGAAAGCCAAAACTAACGCACAAGTTAATGTCGTAACAATGTAGAGCGATGAAATACAAGGGAAAGGAGAAAATGAGACCACCGGAACTAACAAAGGAGAGAACGCCACCCAGGAGAGACAGAATCAACTAAAAGTAAAGGAGAAGAAAGAAAAAGAGAAAAGTCTACCACATCCTGATAAATTTTTACGCGCATCGATTCCTCCCCCACTAATACATCCCGCCAGGACACCGCGCTCTGCGTTAAAATTCAGAAAGGAAATGAACACCGCAAGAGCTAATAAGAGTAGAGAGAAAAAAAAGGTCCGACATTTAAGATAATGTAAAGGCTACGGTTTAGGGTAGGTGGATAACCTGTATTTACATACAGTTTCCGGTATCTCATAGCAGGGGGATAACCTAAAGAATAGCGCTCAGAGATAGGCACATGTGGGAATCATGGAATCGATCCAGAAATCTTTTGATGAAGAAAGAGGGAAAAAAGCAACCCGAGTCTAGTACTGTGACTTCTGCCTAACTCCTAACTCCCTTAGTTTCTTGCAATTTGGTAGCGGTCGCTCGTTGGCCTTCCTAAGCCTTTCTTGATCGACAAAGAACCATCCGTGCGCGGCATTTCTCTCCTCGATTAGGTTCTCTTGCTCCCTTTCACAATTGAAACGTAGCAGTGAGATTATGTGCGTTTCGGCCCTCTTATCTAGCTTTACTATGTCGCTCTTTTTCATATCCTTCAGCTCGTTGGGGTTGACCCAGAACGGAATTTTGTAGTTGAGGGTTTCGCGCATCTCTGTGTAAGGTGGGACCCTATCAAGCTTGAATAGAGGCCCTCTGAGTTTTTCAGAATTGTCTCCGGTAAAGAGCGAGCCGAGCATGGGTAGAATGAAGAATATAATCAACGGTAAGAGCTGGATCAATATCCTCACAAAGCTTTGTTCTGGCTGCGCTTGCTCTCTGCCTGCTGCTTGCGCCGGTCTCCTCCGCTGTCCACCGAATTGACGAAACCTTATGCCCGGCCCGGCAAATGTCTGAAAGCCTCCCATCCCACCAAATAAGTCACCCCCAGGACCCATTCCGCCACCTCCGAAAAACATGTTGAATAGTTCCTCGGGTGAAATCTCCCCCTCGAACATTGGGCCTCCACGACCGGGGGCTCCAGTGAAACCAAACGGACTGCCGCCAGGATACCCCCGCATAGGAGTATCGGCGAATCCCCCACCTCCGCCTCCTCCACGAGCATCCGGGTCACCTCCGTGCCGGTCGAAGAGTGCTCTTTTATCGGGATCGGACAAGACCTGAAACGCGCGGGAAACAACTGGAAAGTGAAAGAAAGAGTAGGGAATGTTAGTATTTGTATTTCAACACGTTAACACTCCCGTTGTCGTAGGTGATGAGATGCAAATGGGCAAGAAGTGGTAGAATCTCTCACGTTTGAAGGCTTCATCTGCTCCCGGGGCTCCGTTCTTATCCGGGTGCATTACCAAAGCTAATTTGCGGTATGCCTTCTTTATCTCTCCCTCGGTAGCCCCTACCTTGATGTCCAAGATGTCGTAGTAAGCTGTTGCGTTGCATCTCCGAACCCGATCGACCGCTGATTTTTGTGCTGGTGTATATTCACGATCTTGGCGGCCCTGGTTGTGTTCGCGGGATTTGGAGGAGCCGGAGTTGGGCTCGGCACCCGACGAGGACGCAAAAGGCATTGTATGTGTTGTAGTAGATATTAAACTAGGAGATCGACAAGAAGGAAGTTATCCGGTGGATATTGCCGTAACGTGAGTGAATAGCTGGGTGTTGTGGTTTGTTGTTGTTGTCGTAGATAGGGGGGAGGGGGGGTGTTTGATGACGGTTTAGACCGATATTATCTTTTTTCTGGAAAATGGGTGGGAGTAAAAAGAGATGATGTTCTGCAGAGGCTCCGAACGTGGGAAGTGGCCGTGGAACGGTGGCCGTGTGGTTATCTGGTCTCTTCGGGTGAAAAGTTTCGGGTTTCGCTGTATGTCAGTGTCTTGGCATATCCTCCCAACACAAAATTTCACACCGTTAAATTAGGAGTGGAAACCATCAACCCCAAAAAATCAACCAAGATGTCCACCAAACCTGAAGCCGAGAAAAAAAAACAGTGTTGGCTTGGGATTGAGGATAGTGAGGAGGAAGGAACTGGAGGTGGCTCTGAACAGGAAGAAGAGGAGAGCAGACTGAAGGGACTTGAACGGCGCTCTTCAAAGCGACGCAAGGTGGACTATGCTTCTTCAGCCAGTGAAGATGACGACGGCGGAACCGATGGAGACAACCGCGACGCAGATGAAGAGGGTGAAGAGGAGGTTGACGAAGAACAGGAGGGTATTCGAGAAAAAGGCAAAAAGAAAAGCAGAAACACCGACAAACACGACGATCTACTGATTACAAGTTCATCGAGACTAAAACCGCTATCGAAGGAAGAGCTAGCAGCTTCTAAAGAAGCCACTGCAAAAACCGGAGTCGTTTACCTTTCGAGGGTGCCTGTATGTTCTGCTTCACCACATTCAATTCGGTGCGGTTGTACTAATAACCTCAACCCGTTTAGCCTTTCATGAAGCCTATGAAGGTGAAATCGCTACTTTCTCGTTTCGGCGAGGTCGGTCGTATTTTCCTATCACCAGAAGACCCGAAGGCCTACGCTCGACGAGTTCGTTTTGGCGGAAATAAGAAACGGAATTTTGAAGAAGGGTGGGTTGAGTTCAAGAGCAAGAAGATCGCCAAATTAGTCGCTGAAACCTTGAATACAACTACCATTGGTGGGAAACGATCCGCTCCCTCTGTCACCTGTGTGTTGCTCTTCGCGGTAACTGTACACTAATCTTTCGGTGATGGCATAGGTGGAAAGAAGGGGAGCTATTACCACGATGATGTATGGAACATCAAGTACCTTCCAAAGTTCAAATGGCATCATTTGCAAGCTCAAATTGGTATGCTTCTTCGCCAGGCCTTATGGTGGCTGTCCTGAACCTTTGACTAACCCGTAACTTCACTAAAGCCTATGAAAATGCCTCACGACAAGCCAAACTACGCGCCGAGATCGCTCAGGCTACTCGTGAGAACAAGACATATATCCGCAATGTCGAGAGAGCTAAAATGGTTGAGAAAATGGAATCTTCTAGGAAGCGCAAATTCAAAGAGCTTGCAGAAGCTAGTGGTGATAAAGATTCCAAGCAACCGGAGCCATTGGAAATTAGGCGACAATTCAGGCAGCGCAGTGCCAAGGGAAAGAAGGCAGAGGAGGGCGAAGGTAAAGAGAGTAGTGAAAAGGTCAAGAGGCTGCTCAACAAGGTATTCTGAGTTATGTCCCTTGCCCTTAGCCTAAGTGTGAGACTTTATGGACTTTATGTAACTAATCAAAGTAAATTCTTATTCTAATGGAATTCCTGATGTACATTCTTCCCATGCACATAGCCCCTCCGGCGACTTCGATAGTTTACAAACTGCAACAAATCCGGCTCTTTTGCTCATTAGACTTATCCCTAGTAATATCATACCTGAATACAATACCGGTATGGTAACAGCCGGCCAAAGCCAATCAGCATCGGCAGCTTCATGACAACAGAACGCACTAACCTAGTGGGGTTCAGACTGCCTATGGTACCATATGGCGTCAGGAGCCGTAGAAGGGAAGTGTGTAATTCCCTGTCTTGATTTTTATAATTTGTATCATGTTATTATAGAAGGCAGTCAACTACCGGTGCTGGCCGACGGCCAACTAGAATAACTAAGCCTCACGCTAAGATATCAAGAATTCCCCTCCTTGGACAAAGGGGGAATCACCCGAAAAGAAGTGACTTTTATAACAGCCCTCTGCTTATATGCTGAGAATGGTAAAATAGAAAATATAACAGACCTTACTATGAGAGGTAACTTCAACATCCTAGTGCAGGGTCCAATCGTTCCAATTCTTACCAGTGCAGTATCTTGAAATTTAGAACCGGTATACAATTTGGGCACAGGTAGATCTCATACAAGTACTTGCACGCAAGCCACTCTGTGGCAACGGAATTTGCACACTTTCTCCCACCCCCTGGCACCATACCGTATTAACTTGAATAAGAGCAACACATCTCAGGACGTCTGACTTGCCTATTTTGGTAGGAACGGGAGAAAATACCAGCAAAATAAACCCACGCGTTACCAAGAGGGGAAGCCTAGACGTCCCGAGCGGTGTTGCTCTTATTCAAGTTCATACGGTAGTACCAGTGGCACATGTTGTGGCTCCATATCGCGAAGCCTATCTCGAACTCCAAGCTTCGCACTTGCCTACGGTACTATATCCCCCAAATTTCGAGCTCACGACGCCATCCGAACCGATATGCCTCCCTCTTAGCCCAGGCCAAGAGACATAGGCCCAGGTCTAGGGTGTACAGTATGGCCCTGCTCGGACCGTCGTCTAGCACGCCCAAACTGCCCGTGCAGGGGTACACATAGGCGGGCACTGTATAAAGCTGGTTCAATTTTGTACAGTACTAGTGCTATTCTCGGCTACATTTCCCGGGATGATGTCTCCCTTCCCACCAAGTACTTGTCAGCTGTGGTAGATGCTCTCTGTACAATCTCTTGCGATCCACTATCTGATTATCAGCGGGCAATCGGCCCGTCGGTCCAGGATAGGTTAACCTGATGGGTTAAGAGAATCGCGACTACCGGTGAGATCCAACACATCCGGCGGACTGATCTCGTGCATACCGTGTCAGGAAATGCTAATCCCTCTCAGGAGCTTTTGTCCCCGGGTCCGCAGATTAAAGGGCTGGCAGTGATAGAGGACTCCTGGAGCGCCTGGGGAAGAGCATCGGTACTCGAGTATTAGAGCGCGGGGAAGTCTGTGTGGTCCGGGCACCTTTGACCCCCCCCGAGTCTCAGGTCGAGTTGCGCGAATCCTAATGTGGTAGTGGACTATACCCAATCAGGGTTTCTCATTGCTAAAGATTCAGCAAGAACTCATCTTCCCTGTAAATTTAAGTCACACCGCCTCCTTCCTATAGACTCCGAAGCCTCTGCAACCCCAACGGGGAGACTAAAAAGAAAACTGTTCTGTAAGTTTGTTTCGATAACTAATTAGGAAAGTTTTATCATGCTGGGGGGACTTTATGAACCCTATCTCCTTGTATAGGTGTTGTTTAGGCAAGTTGAAATATCCGTCAACGCTAAGTGGTATGAAGGAAGGCTTAAGGCACAGGCGCTACTAGTATATCTAGCTTGGAGAGATGGGGCTTTGCCGGACTCGGGGAAGTGGAGGACTGGGATAAGATCAACCCGCCACTTTCAAAGCCTCTCAAGACTCTTGTAAGATTTGCGAACAAGAGCCTTGGGACGTTCAGCAGAATAGGGAGATTTTGCTAAAGCGGTCGTAACCTAAGCAGTCCTTATCACCAGAGCAAGGACACCGACCTTTCTGAGTGTGCGCTAGTCCTCTGTGGGCCGGCTTCTCGGCCTTAAGGAGAGTTCACGAATGGAGCAGTGGTAACAGGCATTCGCCTGCACTCTTGTCTCCTGAATATTGGTATAGATTTTGCTAATGCTAGGAGCGAAATTTGTAGCCAAGTTTCGTCTTGTGTCTAGCAAAATTTCAGTGCTCACACCTTGCTGTACCGGTAGTGCATGCGAAATGCTAGGGAATAAGTGCGGTTCGGATTTATGACCGACTCAACAAAGCCTCCCTAATTTGCATGTATCATGGTACAAGTACTGCACTCGGCTTTGGGCTTGCCCCGAAGTGGCGTACGAAACTTGGTCGCCGGAAGATGCCTTATTACTTGTACTAGTACACGCGGCTCTGCTTACTCAAATCCACGTGGCTATCGTATCAATATGGCGTCCTGTTCGGGTATTTCTAATCAATCTGAGGGCTACTCTCTCTCCCAGTCGCTGCACAGACCTTCTGGAAGCATGGGGTACAGCCGGCATACAAATTGTGCCGAAGCCCCCTAGGCTCTTGTCCGCAGATATACAGGAGACTGGGTTCCAAGACTGCATTATTTGATCCAAAAGGAGATGGCGGAGTACAACTGTATTCTGTTAAGCAGGGGATCTTTATTGGAATTGGAGCTAGAAGGATGTTTATGGATTTATATACTTGCCATGATCCCTCGGAGGGGTTTTTAGGTGGTTAGGAATCGACATGTATCTACTACCACTTCTCTTTGTGTTGGCTTTGAGGCCATTGCTCGTGTCTGCTGGCTGGGGATATACTGATGACGGCTCCAATTATGTGATTGGTTTGTCCTCATAAAACCCCCCCTCCACTATGCGACCCGGCTAATGACTCGATAGATGTCGGCTCGAAACTTGTTTTTAAAGTTTCCAAAAATAATGGAGATATTAACTCGATCGTTTACGGAGGCACCGAATACCAAGGTTACTCCGGCAAGCACTCGTTAGTGCGAACCTCCAAACTATTATGATGCTTCTAATCGAATTTTTAGCCATGTCGAGTCCGGTCTTGGGAAAAGTACTGTTACCATAACATCTTATACTAGCCCGGCGTACCTTATCAAAGTTACCGTCACATATGGAACCTTGGTTCACTACATAGTAGTAAGATATGGCCAGAATGATATCTACCTTCTCACCAATAAGGGCGATACCTCTGTAGCAGCCTCGCGGTTCATCCTTCGCCTAAAGGCGAATATCCTCCCTCACGATTCTTCCATGTCGGACTTTTACGATGAGGGCAGCGCTACCATTGAAGCTTCAGATGTCGTTCGAAATTCACGTGGGGATACCAAGAGCAAGCACTACCAAGGCAGCAACTATGGAAGGTGGGTGCCCTTCCCCTCTACCCTCCCCCTCCTCCATTGGAACCACTAACCTGATTATGGTGAAGAGTAATGGATTTTGACTACGTCGGAAAAACTACCGGTAGTGTTGGTGTCTGGCTCATCCGGTCCAACCACGAGAAAGCCTCGGGCGGACCGTTCTTCCGCTCTCTTGTCAGGCGTTGCGCTAGCGACGGCGAAGACCTCTACGAGATTCTCTTCTACAGCATGGGCCACACCGATCCTGAGAGATGGGGCTTGCAAGGTCCCTACATTCTCTCTTTCACTGATGGCGACACACCAAAAACGGCGCTATTTGCACGAAATGCGAACTGGTCCTGGTTCGACACACTCGGAATTAAGGGATGGGTTGCGGACTCCGCACGTGGTTATGTTACCGGAGCAGGCATTGTGAATATGAAGCCTGGGTACACGTATACTGCTGCGCTATCCAACCCAGATTATCAGTATTGGGGGGTTGCAGCAAGCGGCGGTGGTGCCTACTCTATCAAGAGGGTCGTTCCGGGGACCTACAAGCTCACGGTATACAAGGAGGAATATGAAGTTTACACCACTAGTATCACGGTTACAGCCGGGTCTGCTACTTCATTAAGCACCATTACGCCGGATTCTGATCCCTCAGACGTTAAGGCTATATGGAGAATCGGTACTTCTATATTTACCTAATGTTTGGTAGTTCTGAGTAGCTAACCGATAACGATATAATAGGTGATTGGGATGGAACACCGGGCGGATTCTTAAACTTTGAATCAACACCGTACAAGGTAAGTATCCTCCATCCCTACGATCCGCAACATACCCAACTCACAATCCAAGCCAACATACATGCACCCCAGCGACCCCCGACTCTCCTCCTGGGATCCGGGAGATTTCACGGTCGGCAAAACTGCAGCCAGCGACTTTCCAGGTTATATGTGGAAAGACGTGAATAACGGCCACCTAGTCTACTTCAAGCTCACCGCAGCACAAATTACCTCAGAAAAGACTATACGTATCGGAATAACGGAAGCGTTCGCCAACGGTCGGCCTACCATCTCGGTCAACGGCTGGACTTCCCCACTCCCGTCTGCATCTACACAGGGCGGTACTAGGAGTTTGACCGTGGGGACGTATAGGGGAAACAATCATATTTATAGCGTAGGTGTCCCTTCCTACTTTAGGGTAGAAGGAAAGAGGTCTGACAAGAATTATAGTTTTCTGTTCCAGCATCTGCATTCTTGACTGATGTTGCCCAGTGGAACATCCTAAAGATCACAATTATAAGTGGGAGTGGAACGGCCGGATACCTGAGCGCTGGAATTTCGATCGATTGTATGGACCTTTATTAGGAGTCGGCGGGATATTCGTTGCCAGGTATAATTTAATTAGTTGGGCACCGCACCATAGATATTGTAATAATTAGACCTCGCGCTAGTACGTTGGAGTTGCCTCTCCTAGTAAGGTCTGTTGTATTGGGCTGAAAGCCATTCTTTTTGTTCCGTTTGCACGCCTTAACCCCAAACAGCGAATTCTAAAAGGCCTTAGCCTGAGCTCCAATTATTCTAGCCTTTGCGAGTACGAGTACGGTAGCCAGCCACAAAACTACCACTGTATGACAATCACAAAGCAATCCACATTCTCAAACAAGTATCGTGAATCCGAGAACCCCCCCCCCCTTCACACATCACATCGATAAGTGAACAAGATCAAAGGCGATCATGAACAGTGACTCGTCCCATCCATCCATCCACCATACTCTCTCCCTCTCACCTCCAAGAGCGCCCCTATTTGCCTATGCTAGGAATAGTCACCTCTACTAGTACCACCCGAGGGAGCACGCACGGCTCCTCCACCATCCCCCTCCTCCCCCCCGCCGCAAAACTGCAATCCGGCTCGACCCCTCAAGCTAGATGCGCAAAGAAAGCCAATCAATCTCTCTCCAGACTTCTACTATAACCTAGATATTATGCCCAGAATAAAGCCATCATTCCCACAAACTCCCGCGAGGGGATATGCCATGATGGATCTAAGCATGAGCGTGCACATACGTATATACCATGCCATAACTTGATACCAAGCTGACAAATCTGGATGGCGTAAATATCCCCCTAACCTAGACCCTTTTCCCTTCACTTGATAAAAAAAATTTATCTCAGGGATTTTTGATAAATTCCTCCTCTTACACTCACCACATTTCTCTCTCCTCCCTCCTCCCTCCTCTCTCCTCCGGGAACCACTACCTACAGCTCCATCTCTACCCTCCTTCCTCCTTCCCTCTCCTTCTCCTCTCTTCACTACCTCCACAACCCCAAAAGAAAAGAAAAAAAGAGGGTGAGAAAAAAAAATGTGCATCTTCCTCCACTTAAACCCAAACCCCTTCAAAAAGCACCCCGCGTCGGAAGCCAAGAGCTACACGGAACGAGCCATGCAAACGGAGGATGAGGACGACCTTCACGAGCTCGAACACGCCAGGTTCATCGGGCCGCGAGTGAGCGTTAGAACTGCCAGGAGTTGCGCTTCGTACGGGATTCCGTGCACGCCGGTAAATACAACGGGGTGATGGAGTAAGGGTTATTTGGGCAGGCCACCCTGGAAAAGGAGAGGGAAGAATGAAGGCGGTGGACTAAAGAGACGGGACTGCAGTGGACTTCTCGGTCGATCACGTCTAGTGAGAGGGAAAGAGAAGGATTTCAATTGCGGCCGGGGCCAATTGTTAGTTAGTTGCACCGTGAGAAAGTTGTAGAAATATGAGTGAGTGACTGGTGAAACTGGATGGATGGAATAAGTAGACACCGTATCTGAGCGCTTCAAAAAAAAAAAAAAAAAAAGCTACAAAGGTCCCAGAGGTGGGGTTTCTGTGGGGGGGTTGGAGTACTTGGCCTGCCTATCCCTCCTCTTTTCCATCACTATGCCTCACTCATGGTAGGAAATGACGGGCACGCCATGTAAACCCCTCGCAGCAAGGATTCGGGGAATACCAGCTTTCACATAAAGTCACCCAAGTTACCGTCCCCAGCCATCCATCCTGCACGATTCCCCGCACAAGGTCATGAAAGAAGATTTCAACGGCATCACGCTTTCATTGTATACCTGTCAGTATGTGTGACCACTGACCCCCCATCTAGAATATAGTACACAACAACCCCCACAATCCTCCCATCGGATTTGCCATCAATAACCAACCAGCCGTCCCCTCACCGACGATATCCATAACACCTCTGTAAAAGCGACGAGAAAATCCTGCAGTCACCAAACAAACAAGCAAACAAACAGTAAACCAATATCTTTCATTCATACTGTACAAACCCGTTTCCATAACTGATATATACACTCCACTATACACCCTAAGGCACGACGGCGACGACGACGACACACAGCACTTGCCATATGTGCATCCTCACCCATCCACCAGTCCATCCATCTACGATACGATATCCGTGCATCCATGATACCGAACCCGATATGAATAACCCGGCTCAAACCCCCTTCCAACGGATTCGCCGCTTTCTGCCCTTGCTGTACCGAGTCATACCGACACCCAAAGTCCTAGCTAGCTAGCTAGCTAGCTAAGTACACAAGGAGTGATAGAAAAAAATGGCAAGAACTGCCACAAGAGAAAAAAACCCCCCATCATTTTTCGAAGAATTCTCTGAAAAGCGGACGCTAACATCCAAGCTCTCATGAGCGAGCACGGGTTCCTAAAAAGGAAAAGAAGGGGGGAAAAAGCTAAACAGAAACGACAAACTGTTTAACGGCCTGTTTGGAGTCTCGCCATCCTCAATAAAAAGTACATGGTGAACCGGATCCATAAGCGGCGTTTCCTTCTTTCGGCGGTGGCGAGCAGCAGCGTGTTCGCCCAACCCATGATACCCTTCCCACCAGCCACCTTTGGAAGCCGTGCAGGGAGCCACGGTCGGGTAGAGCTAGATTTGCATCCTCGATGCCCTAGGCAAAGCTCACTGTCTCCCTTTCCCCTCACTCGGAGGGACCGAGAATGGTGCTGCTCGGGATTGTTTTTTTCCTGCCCTCTCCTGCTCTTTCAGTGACCTTATTACACCTCAAGGTCTAGAGTCCCACCAGTACGGGTTTAAGCCACTTGTAGTCTATATACCAGCGAGCACGTTGCCTACTTTAGTAAGAGTATAGTGGTATCTTTGGCCACGGGCTCTACCAATGAGTCAACGAGTAGGAGGGAGTTATGGAATAGAAACACCAAGCTCGGGATCTATCTATCCTTAGTAAACCTCCTTCACAACCCTCCCCGTACCCTGGACTTGGTCGTCTAAACAGGATGGGCCATCGCTTTCCGGACCCATGAAGCCTACCTTAGAAGGAGATAAACCGCTCTGCTAGAAGAAAGTTCTGAACAGCGGCAAATGAGCTCTCCATTCCATTACGAAAACAAGAATATACGCCTAATGTGAGTTCCTGAGATGTTCGAGTGATATTAGGTGAGTATAGTAAATTACTTTTAATAATAGAAAGGGCTGTACAAAAAGTCCACCTATGTATCATAATATTATCAATACTTAATTTAATGGAAACCCCGAGCTCTCGAAACGGAGTGAGTATAAATGGGAAGTCCCTTCCTCCAACCTTGATTTGATCAGGTTGTCACAAGCTCTCAACAATCCACACAATATTCACTAAAAGCCAAATCATTTACTCTTACTTTTCTTCCTTCCAGAATGAGCGGGTGGCTGAGAGGGCCCAAGTCTCCAAGGGCCAAGCAGATGTTAAAACTGGAAGCACCAGCGCTTATCAGATCAAAACATGTTGCCCCGTTCGCACTTAACCAGGTCTCCGAGAATCCATCACTTATCAACATTCCAGCTCCCGAGGATGGAGTTCTCCCAGATATATCCCATCCTGCGGGAGCCCTGACGGCGGACTCCAGAATCCGAGCCATCCGTCTCATTGACGAGATCGATAGGTGGTACGTTCAGAACAGAGGAGACGAAGCCGCCGTGATCGGGAAAATCAAGGGCCGTCTTAAAGGTGATAGGTCGGAAGCGTGGCTGAAGTCTCTCACAACACGCAACCCAAACCCACTGACTGTAAACAAGATCCGTCAACGACTATTCAAAGATTTTCGTGTGGAGAAATGGAAGGAGCTGATGGAACTTCGCTACGGAGAAGGGGCTTCTCATGAGGGTCAGTCATACCTCTCGGTTGCAAACGGTGGTCGAATGCCGGAGTACTTCTTCGGAAGAGAGTTCAAGTTGAAGTTGGACTACATCGAAGATATAGAGAAACTCAGGGAGCAAGTGAGGGCTAAGAACCGTGAGATTATGTTACTCGAGTCCAGAATTCGGGGAGTCGAGGAGGCAAGAAAGGCAGCCGAGAAGAAAAACGAGATGCAGTTTGAGATGTCCTCGGAAGCGCTCGCCAGGGTTGCTGAGATTGTCATCAACAGCGTTTCCGGGGTAGAGAACAAGAAGTCGGAGGAGCTGGAGAGGCGAAGGGGAGAAGAAGACAATAGGTATCACATTATGGCTAACCACGTCATCACAATGGGGGAAGAGGTCGACAAGCTTCGCGATCTCGTTCAAAAATTGCAGAGAGAGGGCTCGAGTGGCATACCGACTGCTGTGAGTATGTAGCCATTATTGGATTTGGCCATCCCCCGGCCGATTTTTGGAAGCCCCGCCATAATTAACCCTTATTCTAACATTCGGCACCCAAACCAGACAGCTCCACCACAACGCCAAGGAAGCTGCCAGGGGTGGAACCATATATGGCAGGATCCATTGCTTCCCCCACCCCCTGTAACACTTATTCCCTATTATCCCATAGAAATTACGGATCTCCACTAACTCTCGACCTAGTAAGCCTAGCAATGAAGGATATTGGGATGAATCTCCTCGAAGAGCGTGATGGGTACGCCGAAGAAGAGAAGGCCCTTAAAGCCCGCTTAGAACGCTACCAAGGAGGTGGTCCAATATATCTCGTCAAGGAAGATCCACCGTCAGACAAGGATATGGCCCGCGCTACCGGGAGTGCTTCGCGCAATGTTTCCCCACCACCCGTAGCCAGGGGACTCGAAGCAGAAATAGCGGAACTCCTCGGGGAGGCAGATGGAGACGGAGGATGCGGCGGCTTGTTGGAAGAGGAGGCATGGAGATGGTCGTGAACTCCAGAAACTCTGGAATCGCAGGGTCCGACTCCTGCAAGTTTCAGAAGGCCGAAGGAAGGTTTCCTAAAGCTTTACCTCAAGGTTGGGGATGAATGGAAGGCCCATGGAGCACAGCTACCTCTTATTTCGATCATTGTGCGGCCAATTGCGCCCCCTTTTTTTTCTTACATTGTTTTTATCACAATTTAATTGCTTACCCGTACTCTGGCCCCTGACGGAAAAGTTACCCACCTCTATACCGTACTCGCTAAGCCGCGGTTGATATGCGTATGTTCTGGCCCCTGAAGTATTTATGTAGCGCTTCCCCCCACAATAAGGCGGAAACAGTGACCCGATATCCCAAGCGAGAGGGTGGAGTAGACCAAGTCATTCGATCTATAGATCTTGGTGACCTGACCATCCAGCCCGGTGCCAGCGCTGTAGCAACCAACGAACTGCAAACGAACACGAGGATGAGCGCAGCGCGATCAAGAACAAAAGTAGGCTTCAGGGTTTTGAAATCCAACTGATCTCGTGTGCAGTATCAGTAGTTCTAGAAGCCCACCTGCGCTTGGATATCCCTATACATCCCCCCCGAGATTAACTTGTCGATGCGTCTATGTTGGTCCAAGCCGGGTGGTGAGTATGACTGGTCAACACTGGCAAGGACGACCCGGAGAGCCGTGTTCCCGTATTCCGAATCGTATGCCCACATTTGTATAGAGGGTCACGATCTCGCACCGAATCAGACCTAAATTCCCCCAACCCAACCGGTCCACAACCACAACCGTTACAGATCCACAGTCTTCTCCTTTCCGCTCCTGTGAGTTTAAATTGATAGCCGGGCCACGCCATGTTGGATCGGGCCCGGATACAAGAGCTGAGGGCGAGAGTGCGAGTATCGTAGATGCTCATCGATCGGAAGCAACTTCTCAGCGATTGACGGTTGAATCAGGCTACAAGGCAATTCTAGACCCTACGGTACCCTGATTAGACCAAAGCGGGAATAGGCTCAAGCCGGGCCCGCCTTGAGTGGCGATGGTCAGTGTGATCCGTCTCGAGTGCCGGATGTTGCGGGAGAGGGAGGAACAGAAGATACGAGTGTGATACCGTGCTCGAGCACATTGAAGTACTCGTACAAATAGCTGTTTCCCCCGATCCCCGTGATCCTCCAATGTGGAGCGTGAATTGGGAGTCATAATCACATTCTTCCGCACCCGTGCCATGTTTCCGCTTTAGACTTCCACCGGATCACATTGTAGGAAACTGTCCACCAATATGCAAAGGAAAGCGGAAGAAAAAACACATCAATACAGGACTCGCAAAGTCGGTCGCCTCGCATATGTCTAGTTTGGCTAAAATTGGAGGGGTGTCCTCCAACGCTTTGCAAATCTGATTAGTGAAGGTTTGGCATTTGGACATTAACTCGAGCAACCCCAACCCCAGACACGGATTTACGATATCCCAGGCATGGAATTGAGGCTGGATTTCATGAACGCACAAGACACAATTTTACTTTTTCATCTTTCGGGCTTCTAGCGATTGGATACGGTATGGGTTCGAGGCCGGCATTCGAAAATAGTTTCGTCCGAGCACCGTATGTCATACCATAGACACATGCGGGAGTGACGATGGCTGCAGGCCCTTTTTCTTTTGTTTCTTCTTTCTTTTTCTTTCCTTTTTTTCCTTCTCCTTCTTCTTCATGAGGTGATACTGCGTGCCCCACGGGAGCTGTTACCCACCGTCAGCATCACAACTACGAGAGTTGGAGTCCTCCTCACGCCGGATCCCTGCATACACTCGAATAGAGCATGCATTCCTCACGTTTCCCCAATCCTGCATGTTGTTTGTTCCTTGCTCGGAGCAGTCACGGTCGACTTCCAAACAGCTGTCCGGTACCCATTGTGCGAGCCGACGAGTGGATTGTCATCCGGTGCTTATTATTGAGCGGTGCCCCCACTCGCTATATCGTCACTACCGCCCGCTGTTTGGTGATTCCCCATAAAATGCTCAACTGGTAAGGCGGCCCCCGCCAAAATTCTCCTGGGCAACACGTGGCCAAGAAGGCGGGGAAGAGGGGAGGCAGATCTGAAGTCGAGCGCGGTGCGAGTGGTGAAGATGGCAATGCGGATTGTTTCGAGATGAACATGGTCGGGAAATTGGGGATGGAAGGTTTTCAATGCGCCCGCATCTGCATCAATGGCCGAGCATAACCGTGCCGCGGTAACAGCAAGAGTTGAGCAAAATGCGACATGCTACTCGAGTACTGTGCGTGTAGCTTTGTATACGAGCATCACACTCCGTCTTATTCTCCGTTAGGCGAAAGGAGCGTCACATCTGGTTGGCCGCCTCAATTGTCATAATATATTACGAAGTTGACACGGCACGTAGCACTGAACTGAAGCAGGGTGGGGGGAGGGCAGAGGGTTAACTTGGTAAGTTGGGATGAGGGTTTATGGGGTTATGGGGTTTATGGTTGTCTTGGGGTTCATATAAGGAAGCCCCTCCAGGTACAAAGTAAGCGACACATATTCCCAAAGCCTCTTGAACACGTTGACCCATCCTACTCCTTTATATATCATAGCCATCCCCAGTTCCCAGAATTCACACAAGCATGAGCCCATCATCCCTTACCCAGGAAGGACTGTCCCCCCCTCCCAACTTTGCCATGGTTGGGAACGGCGGTTTTGTCTACAGGAGCAGCTTCCCAAAGCCTGAAAACTTCCCCTATCTTCAGAAACTTAAACTGAAGAGTATTATGTGTGAAAACCCGATCCAGAGCCTTACTTTCTCGCCGCAATCGCTAACAGTGACACTGTAGCACTCTGGTATCCGAGACCCACCCTGCCGAGAACAATGAGTTTATGAGGCAGAACGGCATCAAACATTTTCAGATTGGCATGCCTGGTAACAAGGCGCCTTTCGTCAATGGTGGGCACATGGACAAAGATTTGAACCCTAGCAGTGGAGCCCACAGCTGATATCTCCACCGCAGTCTCGGATGACAAAATCTCGATAGCCCTCCGCATCATCTTGGACCGCCGCAATCATCCCATCCTTATTCACTGTAACAAGGGAAAGGTGTTTACAAACTATATGTACTCTACTTTCGGCCTTTCTTCTGACCCATATCTTTTAGCACCGTACCGGATGCGTCGTCGGTTGCCTCAGGAAGATCCAAGCCTGGTCTTTGTCCTTGATTTTCGATGAGTACCGCCACTTTGCGGGTCCTAAGAGCCGTGCTCTCGACCAGCTCAGGATCGAGTTATATCGTGAAGAAGCTTGCATGGGCTCCGCGAGGCAGTGGGGGTGGGTCCCCCCATCGGTAATGCCGTCCGGCTGTTCGATGCAGGAGTGCGAGGAAGAATGCACGGGAACGATAGACGAAATGGTCAACCCACCAGCCGTCACGGCATGAAGGCTTTAAGGGGTAATCCAATATCTCCACAATTGGCCTGGTTCGTCTCTTGCGGAAACAAGCGTTTGTTCTCTCTGTCCTCTTCCGCTTGCGGATCTTTAAAAAGCATTGCATCGTTCGGGAAATGTCTGCTTCTTTTTATTATTATTTTTATTTGGCCTAGACATAACTCTTTAATCACGTCTTGCCTGGTCCTGCACATCATCCAAAATGAACACCCATTGGTTCTCCTTGGCTCATTAGGGGTATTTACGTGTTTTCTTTCTCGCTCTTTCCTTTTCTGGCACTCTTATTCTCTTCATGTCTTTTTTTCTTTTTCTCTCTTTCCGCTCCAACTGGATATGGAGGGGTTTTCCCAGAGGGTCAGTGTCACCCAATTTCTGCTACCAGAACCCGGGGTGTTTCTGGCGGTTTAACCGGTATGGTTCTATATTCAACTTCAGATCAGCGGAGGGTAGGTGTTTTGGGAGGGGAAGTGTGTCTTGTATATAAAGTTTTGTTTCACGCACCCGTCATTGCAGTGTGCTGAATTGTCATGAAATGTTTTTTCCCCCCGTGATTTTAGCTACGTTTGCCTTACGGTAATCACTACCCCTAGAGACTCGCATCTTCCACCGGCTTGTGAACGAAGCGGCCTGTCATGCCGACCCTTGACCGTCAACGTGGTCTCGTTGTACGGGTGCAGAGTGTGCTCTCACTCTAGTACCTTATTTACACTGCGACCGCAAATATCTCCTCCTGGATGACCTCATCAGCAGACCTGCAGCCGAAGCCTCCAAACCATTTCTCCTTCCAGGTGCGACTATCAACTTGGGAAGGGGAAAGCCCAGATTCTTTCATTGCGGTACAGGTAAAGCCACCTCACCAAATGTCCGGAGAGATAGCCCATCAAGCGAAGGCCTTCCTTGACACGAGTGGTCGCCAATACGCTGGTACCGCTGCTTCCACCCATTCCTTTAACCTTTGACCCCTCACTAACAAGGCCCAGAGTCACCACTGCCGGCATGGGCCTCCTCGATCGCAGGTTCAGTCTCCCCGCCCCCCAAAATTTCGCCCCTATCAACTGCCCACCACTAACTGGCCACCCACCCACCAGTCCTCTACCAACTTCCCGATTCCAAACGCCTCTACAACAGCCGGCTCCTCCCCCGCCCGTGGACTGTCCTCCTGTTCTCGACGCTATTCGCAGCCAGTGGCTGGATGGCGTACGATAACGCACCGATTGACGGCGCTGGCACCACTGCGGCCTGGTCGGCCATATATTGCATCATGAACGGGAGCCCCCGAAGGCTCGGTAAACTACTGCGACTCGGCCGGGTGGCGCCGCTAGGGATCACGGGGTTTGCCGCTGCGAATGCCGTTACGCATGGGTACTACTATCTGACAGTTCCGAGGAGTAAGGAGGAGATTGAGGAGTACAAGAGATTGAAGGGAGAATAATTGTGGGAGGAGAGGAGGGCCCCTATTGAATTATCCTTTGGTACGGAATCTTAATGGCAGATTTGGTAGGGGGAGCACATTTTCTCCGCGATAAGTTTTGCTTCTCGCGATTACGAATAAATGATTGGGAGACCGGAAAGTGGTGCAAGATCCGAGGGGCTGTAATAGCACAAGGGCGCGAGTTATTCTCGGTGACCCGAGTCGCAGGGGCTGTATGAAGCCAGCTGGGGTCAGAGCACACTCGAGGTGCCAGGCCCTTGTTCGGTACTCTGATTTCTTGGGGAGCATCCACCATAGCTCAGGCTATCCTAGATTAAGGAAAAATGCAGGCCACTCCTTTTATTGTTCCGATGTTCCGAGGCCAACCTTACGAGTAGAAGTTACCCTGTGCTGACTGGGATTCGGGCTAGTCAGTTGATTCTACCGTACGAGTTCCGGCCTGCTCCAGGTTTCCAGCTGGGCTAAGAATTTTAACAATCCATTTCTTGAAGCATATGAGTAATTTCACCACAATGACCATAGTGTTCCTATCCACGAAATTGCACCAATTAGGCCTAGCCTTAGGGAGAATTCAAGGAGGAAGACTTCTTTGATATCCCAATCATCAGGAATTGGTGCTTGTTCCGGCACCCATCACCGTCGCCATCGCCGCTCCCATACCATACCATACCATACCGGAGCGTTTTTGTTTTTTTCCCTACTTTTTCTCCTGAAAAACAGAAAAAAATCAATCCAATTGGTTGGGAACCGGGATTCAATGTTTTTTTTTTTTTTTTTTGGAAACATATATGGTCTGTTTCCAACCAACCGAAATGTTGTGTCCTCCAAATCCATCTAACGCAGCGCAGCTGAGAGCGCAAGAGTTCACACGGCACAGTAATCTCGCACTATGGTAACTTCAACAATCTACAAGTACCTACTCTACTATATTATCTTGAGTAGGAGAGAATTGTCTCAGGATTTCCAAACCCCCCTTATAAGTAAGGCCTTGCTTCGTTTTGCTGGCATTTTCTCCCGTCCCCCTTAAAATAGGAAACTCGGATGTCCTGAGAAAATTCTCCCTCGTTCAATATAACACAGTACTGTACTTGTGCCGTAGAATATGCTTTCCTACAAGCCATATCGGGCAAAAAAATTACTCTCTGAACCAACAGAACAATACATGACGGCATTACACAATTGGCTCAGTATCCATGTAGGAATCACATACGATTAACAACAAGTCATGTTGAGCCTCTGTGCAAAGCTAATATGGTAGCTGAACGTAAGTTGAGACTAGGTGTAGCACTCGAGTACCAGGTGCAGTGTACATAGTACTGTACATGCAGCCTATGATAGATCCTGGTAGTATGGCGACAGAGTGAGCGCAACAGATTAAAAATAATAATAAAAAGACAGCCAATCACAAGTTGCTCAAGTTCGCATACGCCCACCCATACAGCACGCGATCACGTAACCAAGTCACTCTAATTGCAGCTTGCCCAGGGCGTCAAAACTACCGGCATGGTAACTTAATAAGCTCAATCGCAAACGCGAGTGATGCTACATGACGAGATAGGGCATCTGTACCTTATATAACCCTAACCCTTTCAAATTAGTTTACCGGGTTAAACCCAAAGGGATGATTGTTCCCCAGGGTGACTGGTGCAAGTACCGGTAGGGGTCCATCGGCCGTTCCGGGGACGCCCCCAGCGCCCACGAATTATCTCAGGTCCCAACCCCCGCGCATGGAGGCTGGGCAGCACGGGTGTAGTACGCGGGTATCCGGCATAACACAGGGCTGGTAATGTTTCCTGAGAATGAACTCCGAAAACTTTCCGGTCGACCTGCTGATGAAACATACCACAGGCTCACCTGGCCGCTTAAGGGAGGGGTGTACCGGTATGTGGTGGGCCTCTTGCCTCCTCTTCCCCCGAGCCTGGACCAGGCACAACTCACACTACCCTGACCTTCCCCCACTTCCCCCACCCCTCTGCACCTAAAAAGGTCCCCCCTCCAGACCTCCCAAACAGGCTCAACCTACTGGCGCGACGCGGAGCTCGAGGTGGCCGGAGTTGGAGGAGGGGAGCGGTGCTGTGATGGGCTGTAGGATAGCTTAATGATGTATTATAGCATGCATGGTGTTAGCAGTTAGTGAGTTATAATATCTAGTCCCCTACCTTGAATTGCCGTGCGATATGGTTATGAGATCGGGGGGACGATAGTAGTGTGACCTGATTCATAATTAAGGTGATAGTGAGCGCAGGAGCTATAAAGATTAGAGGGCAATGAAACCCTCCGAGATTCACGGCGTCCAAAGATAGCCAGAGCAGTTAACTGAAATCGTACTCTTCTATGGCAAGAGCCGTACTCCTAAATCTATCATCTGATTAATCTGGCGCAAAGGTGGACTGTCCTGACACTGACTTCAGCACACAGTTTTACTTTGGGGTGAGTGATCACTTATGATTGCTGTCCCTGTCACCCTCGGTACCAAGCCCGCGATGACAGCATGGGGCGGGCCACGTACTGTGCGTATATATGTACGGCCGACAAACAAAGGCCACCCCATCGGATCCCTCAACAGCAAATCCACCTACCCCCCTTCTACTCCTATCATACTCCCACATCACGATGCCCTCCCAAGACATCCCGCCACCCTTCTCCCACTTCTCCCAAGACCTCGCCAGCCTAGTATCACCACCACACCGTCCCCAAACCCTACAACCTCTGTCTGCCGTCTCTCCCGGCTCTCGGCGGACACTCGACATACCACCGCCCCCCTTCTACTTCACCAACCAACCCCTCCCCGCTCAGCTATCCACCCCGCTGGAGCGCCTCCCACTCCTTATCTTCGCCAAAGTCCTCCTGAATCTCAAAAGCATTGACATCGTCACCCTCTCCACCGTCAGCTACACCCTCCACATCCTAGTGGAGCATTTCACCCGCGGTCTCCTCCTCCGCGAGCGCAACGGGCTTCCTCCGCCGCACTAGGCCTGCGCAACTGGGAAGCCGAGATGTCTGTACCTGATCCTAAAGCTGGAGCCCCGTTACCGAAATGAGTTAGACAACCCCTTCGGCCCGCGCAAGCGTACGGCTGTCGAGTATGCTATCCGCAATGGTAGCGCTGCCTGTCTGAATATCCTCATTGCGCATGGCGTAAAAATTGACGACGTCGGCACGCCCAAGCAAAACCAGAAACTCCCCTTGTACCTTGCTGTCGTGCACCAGCAGCCCGAATGCGTCCGTGCGCTCCTCACCCGCGGCGTGACGACCATGTTCCACGTTGACGAGATGTGGACAACGCTCATGCATGTCGCCGCTACTTACAAGAACCACGAGATCGTCAGGATGCTCATGACCAAGGGTAATACCTTGGTTGGCGTCCTCAACAGGAATCTTGAGACCCCGCTGCATTACAGTGTTATTTTCGGATCGCTGGTCGGTACGTTGGGGGTTCTTAGGGCGCGGTCGTGGGGCTTGCATGATGGCTCCGGCGTGCATCGCGGAACAAGGTATACCGCAGTCACCATGACCGGGGAGCTTCCGGAAGGGAGGGCGCTAGAGAGATTGGCTACCAGGAGGGAGATTGAAAGGAGGGAGCGACGTGGGTTCGGGGCCGGCGTGGCGCGGACGATGAGGAGCGCGCAAGAGACTCCAGATCGCGAGGTGGGATTGTGGGTGACTCGGCCGGGCCAGCCTGCCAGGAGAATTGCCTGAATATGTGTTAACTTAGCGGTCCATATCGTTGAACAATGGGTTCGCTCTGAGATCGGGGGGACACTTGAGAGGGTTTCTCTTTGTCTTTATAAACTTTCAGTGTACTGTACAGTACACATCGTTTTTTCTTGTAAGAGAATCCTAAACTCTAACTAGTTTAGTTGTGCTGTACAATACTGCTCATATAATGGTCAGTACTGACTAACTCGTACCAAGAATGGGATCGGAACATTTTTCCACTGCTAGCAAGATCAGTTGCCTCAAATCTTGAACCCGGAATCGCTCGCAGTATACGAATATCTAGGCTGGATCACAATTCATTGAACCGGTTTGAAAAAACAGGGCATTCAAGGAGACTGGCCTCTCCCCTCCCCCCTCCAAAGCGGAAGCGTTGTGTACAATGGTAAAGGTTAAATTCGCACCCAAACCGGCCAAGCCAGTACAATAATACTGCGAGTGACAATCTATGATTAACAACCCTTCCAAAAACACCAAGCAAAGCGCTACAGCGCCTCGGAGGATGCCCAGCTCAAGGAACGGCTCCAAAATATTGGATGGTTCGTTGAACTATGGCGCACAGTGTCCGCAGTGTCCGCGGGTGCACGCCCAATCTTCCACACCCTGGCAATATACCAACACAGAATACCTCTCTCTTGCCCAACCCAATCCAATAGATTTCGTCTAATGATGAACAGGATCTCCGCCGCAATCCACAATACACTATAGTAAAACATTGCATGCCCGCAACACCACGGTAAGCCGATTTCTATCCTATCACATTTCGATACCCCTTCGCTCTAAGAAATGGTATGAGTCTCCAAGCTCTAATCTAAATATGCGATCACCGAAACCGGCCTATTCCACAATCCACCAGGCCTCCATCTATATAACGGTGCTTCACCCCTCCAGCAGCCTTCTCCCACCAAAGGCGCTAGCGTGAAATACACCCCTCCACCAAACACCCCACTCGAAGATTCGTAGTTTCAGGCTGATGCGCCAGTACTCCAATGTCGCAATTACGATCTTCCAACCTCCCAGTTCCACAGCTTCCTCGTATACTGCTCTCGCACAATATCTGGCCAGGATTAAGAATTGACGTTCCGGGCCAGTGCCTGCTTGTAAGTTCTCGTCAAGACTGCGGGTTAAGTCATTAGTCTTCAGGATGAGGAGAATGACGCTGGGAACGTTAGAGAGAAGCTGGATCAATTGTGCTAAGAGTCCCTCGCCGAGAGCCTCCGTGATAACCTCTTTTTCATTCTCGTCTCGTGGACTGGCTACGCCTTTTTGCAATGCCGTATAGTCTCGCCCTGTGATTGCAGAAGCGAACAGCGGGAATTGATCGTCTGTTACCCCAGCGACTTCGCCGGCGTACTGCCTCATTCGGCCCTCGTCACCATCAATTACGGCGAGCCAAAGCTTTGCGTAGGAGCGACGCATTTGCATGGGAATGTCCCGGTAAAGACCATGGTCATACAAGATGATTTTAAAGTTGGTTTTCTTTCGACGGCCAAAGATTTTCTTAACCCAGCTTCTATCATTGATATTTGGATCCGCTAGACGAATGGCGAGGTTACCGCCGTGGGGGTCGCAATGAAGTGGTGCGTCCTTCCCGAAAACCATCTCATTGAATATCCGGGCGAGGGCAGCTGAAACCTCTCCGCGAGAAACACCATTTGAGTCCAAGAAGGCAAGGTCATCTAAACGGTGTCCGGGGAGATATTCCATTACCAAGATCCGTGGCTTAGCCCAGATAACTAGCCAGTGTCAGCTCGCACGCCCCGAAAAGTAGCAAGTTCTTAGAATTACCGTTCGGGATAACAAGGGGTGTGTTTTCGATGCCCTTGAAATATTCCCGGACTCGGTATATGTTTTTTGCTTCCATCTCAAAATTCAGTTCCTGTGGGAGACTAAAACCTATTAATCGTTTCCTCACAAAAGCGGAAATATTTCATATTAGGAACATACGATGCTTCCATCTCATCACTTAGCCACGTCATAGGATATTCCGGGAAAAAATATTTAATATTTGTAAAAGTAAATCTCGTTAATGCCATATCCAAGGGAATCCATTCGGCCAATGCCGGATGCTGTAGTTTCACTGCGACTCTAAAATGATTCATTAGCCCTTTCCCCATGACGCAGCAATAACAAGCATACTCTCGACCACTATCTTTCAATTTGGCTCGATGTACTTGGGCCAGCGAAGCTAACAACGACTCAGCTTCTATCTACACCCAACAACCGACAACCAGGGTGAAAAGGACTTAATCGTACCAGCTCCAATAGGGTTCGGATCAAATTCAGAAAACAAATCTGTGACGGACTGTCCGGTATCGTCTAATATCATCTATGCACCCTGTTAGACATGGGGAAGGTAAGTAACGTTCAGAATCGCACCTTTTCGATGCTCTCGAAACTTGAGACTGGGCACCGGTCTTGTAGAGGAATGAAGGTATCCTGAACAACATCAGCAGTCAGCCCGCAAACCCCTATGTAAACATGATTTTGAGGCCCGGCACCGTCCACTCGGCTGGCAGTAGGTAACCCATGGCCGCAAGATGTTGTCCGAGCTTAATGAATATTGAACCGTTCTTCTCGAGGACCTTATAAGTCCTAGAACACTCAAATCAGTTCAAGCACTCTATCCTATCAAAAAAAAAAAATCCTGACCAACCTCTCAGCACATCTCTTATGACATTTCGCCAACAGCCCATCACTATCGCCCGGGTCGAGCTCCAAAGATCTTAAAGTAACGCGGTAGCTGCAGAGGTAATCAGTAACTAAGGTCAAAACCCAACACCCATCCATACTCTACCCACTCATTAATACACAGCGCCAGGGCACTTGCAACCCGAGTAGCTCTCTCAACAGCTGCAACGCTATGTCCCACATCTGGTGATCCGAAAGCTACAGCACCCAACGCCGTTCCGGCAGCTGCACCCATCAACATCTTCCCCCCCCTTCCCGGCCTCCGAGAATACGCTTTCGAGGTTGATAGACACCGACGACATATCCATGGAACATTATTCCGGAGGAGGATTCTCGAGAAGCCCAGTACGCGCATGTCCGCTTAGCAATTGAATGAATGAAGGGTATTGCAGAAGCTATCATATAATCCGGGGAGCAGTGCCAAATACAAAGGAGTCGAACGAGAGTGGAGGTATGGCAGGGAAAGCTCGCGGGAGATAGTTCGGAACCCAGAGGGATAGGAAGAGAATCCGTGGAAGAGGCCCGAACCCTAGGGTTAGGGGAAATCTATGACTTTTTTTCCTTCGGTTTCCCCGGTTGGCGCTTTACCCTGTGGAGTTTGACGTGAGCGAGCAGCAGAAAGAGCCTCATCACTCGATCTCGTGTCTACTCAAAGCCCCCGATTCAATCACACCACATCATTCGGCCTCAGTTGAATAGTAATTCGGAAATTCACATGAAGCCCATAAATCACCAAGGAAATGCTAAAACCGGCACCAGTGTATACATACAAACAAAAATTGTCCTTCCCCAATGTTCCCCATTACCCACTACGTGTCCCCCACCCAAACCCCCGTTTTTAGAGATGGTTGAAAACACAAGGGGAGTAAACTCAAGAAACTGTATAACCCTACAAGAAAGAGGAAGGTGCCCTTTTTTTCACGGTAAAGAAACACACTTCTATATTGATTTATTTACTATTTTCCCCCAGATGCAGTAGTAGCGCTTGCGGCAGTAGTGTTTGTAGCAGCTGCAGCTGGAGTAGGGGCAGTGGTTCCGAAGTTGGCGCTCGCCAGCCTGTTTGACAGATCGATCTGGGTTCTGATAGTATTTGCCAAGTATGCCACGAGTAGGACATCCTGAATATGGGTATTAAACATTCTCTCAACGTCTGCGGGGGAGACTTTAGGTGCCAAACTGAGCGTGTTCATCAAAAACTTCCCAATAGCGACAGAGGCTTGGGTATTTCCAGCCTAGTGTGGACGGGCGTCAGCATCTCCTCTCACTTTTTTCCTGAAGGCGAGAAACATACGACGACTCCAGCCACATATTCACTAACTCTATCCAGCATTTCCAGAACCTCCTCAAGTGCCTTCTCAAGCGCGTGAATATCAGTAGTAACCTCGGTACTTCGGTTTTCGTTGTTTTTGGCACTTGAGATCAACTCCAATCCGCTCCTCTCAGCATCGGCATACTTAATTTCGTACGGAATCGGAACAAATAAACAGCTGTCGGCAAGACGGTCCGGGTGAACACCGACAGCGGACGATATGTAGGTCCTAATGGCGATATCCTGTCCAGGGACGGTAGACATGGTAAGATGAACGGCAGGATGGGGGAAGGTGCCATCACCATTGGAGGCATAAAAGTTCTGGATAAGAGCGCTGAAAGTATTGAGCTCTGGTGAGGTGGCATACCTGATTGTATCAATTAGCTATATTGAAAGGCACCTGATTTCCGGCAGTATCCATCCTGTGCAAACATACCATCCAATGAGAACCTCCTTGGGATTCGCCTTCAGATGGAGCCCTAACATGGTCTTGTGGTAGTCCATATCTACTTCAACCTTCACCACAATATCAACCAATGTAATTTCCGTAAAATAGCAACCTCTAATGACCCACCTGTTCCTGGCTCTCGTTGTGCCCAACCGCAAAACAATTTCTGATCTCCACCTCAGCTCCATCCTCACTTCTCACACCCAAAAGTGTTCCAATAACTCTCTCCTGGTCAGTGTTCCTTCTTAATGAGTGGTCTAAAATGGAGAAAAGGGCCTGGGCGCTAATAACAACACTTAAAGGCGAGGTAGTGGCCTGGGCCGGCGGAACGCTAACGACAGGAAGCGGTCGAGCGAGATGGATGTAAGAATCTTTGTCGGCCATGCTGGGCAGCGCTGACTAGCGGGTAGTAATTGGGGGTTGGCTGCGAGGTAGGTGGCTGGCTTTGACGAAATTGACCGATGGCGGGGCAATTTTCAGAGCTTCAACTTTTTTTTCCCTGCCTATTGTGGGGCAGTTAGGTTGGCTTGGCAGGGTAAACCCTACCGAATGGTTACCCGGTCTTACACCCAAAAATTTAATCTTTGATATTCGGGCCCGACAGAAATTCTTCCCTGTATTATTCGATTCCGACGAAATCACCGACAGGAGGTCCTGTAACGAATTACGAACTCATTGAAGTTTTTAAATGCCACTCGGGCCTAGAGGGCGCGGCAGAGGTGGAGGGGGACCCAGGGTAAGAGGAGGGAACCCGAGAGGCAAAGGCGGTAGAGGTGGTAGAGGCGGGAGAGACCGAGGAAGACCCTCGGTGAGAACTGAAAATCGACCAAAGAAGTACGTTTTTTCTATCAGATAGCACCAATATATGATTGTATGGCCCCCCTTTATTATTGGGAACCGTTCTGACAACGCGCAATAGAATTCCAGAAGCCGAAGTTCCTGATTCAGATTCCGATACCTCAGATGATCCCGAACCGCGTAGGGGAGAAGGCTCCGAGGAAGACTTGGGTAGTGACGACCTCGAACCGGAATCTGAAGATGATGCGGCAGCAGCGAAACCTTATAACCTCCTACTTCAGTCCCTCGTAGCGAACAATGAGTCTAGCCAACGCAATCCCAAACGCCGAAAACTTGATCATATGCAGCCCAAAGAGAATGGGGTCATCTTGTTGGACAGCGGAGATTTGGCAGATGAGCCTGAAGAGGAAGAAGAGCACGAAGAAGAGGTCATGGACGTGGTATCAGACGACGAGGATCAATCCGACCCATTTGAATCACACTTTGCGAGTCCCTCCCCTGTCAGACTAGCTTCCATTTCCTCCGCTTCAAAAGGTGAATGGAAGCATACCAAGCTGTCCAAATCCGGACCACCTAGGAATGCCTACTTATCCACTCCTAGAGGCTTGGAGCAAACCATAGGTGGAAGAAGGATTGAAAGCCTAAGAGACCTGAACCTGAAGAAAAAGCTGATTGCTGAGGAGCTGACACCACTGCAAAAGTCATTAGGGCAGCTTGTCTTCAATTATGTAGATGTTTTATATGGTGAACGGACACTGGGCAATGCTGAAGATTTACGTAGGATGTATTCTTTACATGCGTTGAATCATGTTCTAAAGTGTGTCCCCATCCATGCACTTGATCAGCTTCATACTAATTGAAACTCAGGACCCGAGACCGAGTTCTAAAGAACAACGCCCGCCTATCAAAAGCTACAGATCAGGAAATAGAGCTCCGGGATCAAGGCTTCACAAGGCCCAAGGTCCTTTTTATACTGCCAACACGAAACGCCTGCCTGGAAGTAATAAATGCACTAGTCGACATACTCCAGCCGGAGCAACAAGTAAGCACCCTCCCCCGATTACACAACACATCGCCAACCATTCTAGGAAAACAAAAAACGCTTTCAAGACACATACTACACACCCCCTGATACTGAACGGATTAGCTCCAACAAACCCGAAGATTTCCGTGCCCTCTTCAGCGGAAACCACGACGACCTCTTCAGGTTAGGCTTAAAATTAACCCGGAAAACCCTAAAGTATTTCAGTCAATTCTATAACTCCGATATAATCCTCGCTTCGCCGCTCGGTCTGCGTATGGTTGTCGGTGATGAATCCGACAAAAAGCGCGACTACGATTTCCTCTCTAGCATAGAACTAGTGGTTGTGGATCAAGCTGACGCACTGCTAATGCAAAATTGGGATCACCTAGAGCATGTCTTCAAGCACCTCAATTTGATACCCAAGGACCCGCATGGCTGTGACTTTGGGCGTGTGCGGAACTGGTATTTGGATAGTAATGCAAAATACTTCAGGCAGACGTTGGTATTTGGCGGGTTCGTGACACCCGAGATGATGAAGTTGTTTAATCAGAGCATGTTGAATGTTTGCGGGAAAGTGAAGATTCAAGCGGAGTATACGGGCTCCATGATTGATTTGGGGGTCCAAGTTCAGCAGGCAATACCTCCCACCCCCAGGCTCCTAATCCAACAGCCCTCTTACTAACTGCCACAACACAGACATTCACAAGAATAGACCCCCCGACTCCAGCTGCAGACCCGGACGCCCGCTTCAACTACTTCACAAAAGCAATCCTACCCTCCCTCCTCCGAAACACCTCCACAAGCACATTAATCTTCATACCGAGTTACTTTGACTTCGTCCGAGTGCGGAACCATCTCTCCAACGCTCCCATCTCCATTGGCGCCATCTCGGAAGAAACGCCCGTCTCATCCGTTGCGCGAGCGCGATCGCATTTTTTCACGGGCCGTCACTCGGTTCTCCTCTATAGTGGGCGGGCGCACCACTTCCGGCGCTACGAGATCCGTGGTGTTACGAGCGTGGTGTTCTACGGACTGCCGGATAACCCCCTCTTCTACCGCGAGGTCGCGGGTGGCTTTATAGGGCGGAGCGTTGGTGAGGGGAGGGCTAAGGAGCAGCCGAGAGTGCGCGTGATATTCTCCAGGTGGGATGCTATGAAGCTAGAGAGGGTTGTTGGTAGCAAGAGGGTTAGGGTTATGTGTACGGATAAAGGTGACACGTTTGAGTTTGTCTGACGCTTATAACTAGAGCGATTGTACGATATGATATTTTAAAGCGCTGTATATAAAATTGTAACTTGTTGATAGAATTCGGTTGGGTCAGGAGTATCGCGATATGCCGTAGAAACTGTTGGAATCTTCAGTCCGGTCCCGGACGAGGTGTTGTATAAGCCACAAGCCTTAGGCCCCCTCCCTCATATCGCAATCCCCAACTGTAATTATTTAGAACCACCACACGGTGATCCCAACCGTACCTCCCCCCAGTGAATCAAAACGCCAAAAGGAAATCTCTACGGATGCAGCAGCGCACTGTGTTTCCTTCCCCCAACTTTTTTTTTTCAACCCCTCCCCCTACCCTTACCCCTAAGAAACAAAAGTGACAACCTAGAATCACCATCCCTTCCGATTAGTTCCGTTCCCCCATTCGCCCACTGCCCACCATTACCCTCCTCCACAAACCAGGAACCAATTTACTCACAGCCATAATAATACAGCAGATACTAACATACGGAGACAATCGCTCCCCGATACGTGCGAACTTCCAGAACATACCGAAGAAGCTGTGGTAGACAGGGTTAGAGGAGTTGGGGCGGGGGAACGGAAAGGGAAAACAGACATGTTCTTATCCTTCCTCGAATCGACCATTCCTGGGACTGTCTGGCGGACGTATGTGCACGTGCAGATTAATAGGAGGATCACCAGGAGTAGGGCGTCGAAGTGGAAGAGGGCGGACTGCATTTTTTGGTTCAGTTTTTAGTTCCTTTCTTTGTTCAAGTTCATGAGGTAGTGGTGTGTGGCCATGCAGATGGAAGGGAGGGGGGGGGGGGATTAATACCATCGCAGCTATGATATACTAATGAAGGAGTGGGATAGTAAGTACCAGTAGCGTGAACAGCGGAAGGTTTACGTCGAGTCGAGGTATGATAGGTAAAGTATGGTGAATAGGTAATAGGTAGGTAAGGTAAGCTTGAGAAAGGTGGGGGTTCGAACGGTGGTAAAGGTGAAGGTCAGTCTAAAGAAGACCTTACTTTCTTGGGGTTTTCACACAGCGGGTTGAGAAGGGCAAGATCCGAAGCAAGACGTTGCACCAAGCTTTTTTTCTTTTTTCTTTTTTCCTCCCTTCCTTTCCCCAACAACCAATCACATCTGCACAGCCACAATGGATCCTGATACCGGAAGTTCCTCCCACAGCGCCACAGAGTCCAGCCACACGGCGAAGTGCCCAACCGCCATTCCAAACACCCCCGTATCCTCCCATCATCATCACTACACACCCAAACATTCAGCGCCAGCACATAACACAACGAAGAAGATGGCCACCGACGCAGGAATCCGTCGCCCGCGTACCCGGCGTCAGCATCTATTTGTTAAAGAGCGTTAGCTTACCCCCCCATACACTTCTTCGCGGCTTAAGCTAACCTAGCCACGCAACAGTCAAGTCCCTAATGTACGCATTCGGCGATGATCCAGATCCGCTCCCGGAATCGGTCCAAGTCCTAGATGAGATTGTCACGGATTACATTGTGGATATGTGTCATGATGCGGCGAGGATGGCTTCCAGGGGCGGGAGGAACAAGATCAAGGTGGACGACTTCAAGTTTGCTCTCAGGAAGGATCAGAGAAAGTTAGGAAGGGTGGAGGAGCTGTTGATTATGTCCAAGGTCATTGCCGATGCCAGAAAGCAATTTGATGATAAGCAGGAGGTTAATGATGCCGCGAGTGTTGGGAAGTAGTGAGGAGAGGAGTGGAGAATGGGACGGGATGGGAACCGTATAGAGATCACGGGTGTATTATTACGATGAAGTGTTTCGCTGGCTATTTCTTTATGGTTGTCTCACATGAAAGGTTTTCTTTTGTAGGATGGTTGGTTTGATTTTTAGCCCCATGTACAACTTACATTCTATTATGATACATATATATGATACTCACTAAAACTATTGCTCTTATCTCACACCACCCTCGGTTTTCTGTTTTTGCTCCTCCAACCATATATTCCATGCAGTTATCCCCACTATATCCCTTGCCATACCAGCAATGTGTTCATCCGGCTCTTCACCATCCGACTCCCACCTCGCCACAATAGCCTCCCAGATCATGAATACCCTTGCTCGACTATTATACACCCTTGCCACCGTTTTCAAGATCCACATAGACAGGTTTGGCCCCAGTTTGTGCCCCTTCTCTTTGTCGAATATCAGTTCCAGAAGTTCTTCCAGCCTTGGGACACTCCAGTCGGAATAGCTTGTCCCACCATGCCAATAGAATCCCTTGAGCAGGGCCACCGAAATTGTCTCGTCGTAGTCGACCTTGCACTCCTCCATCTCCTCCACCAACTCCATTGTCCGTTTGTAGTTTCCCACTTGACATTGGAGGAGTATAAGCATGTTGAAGGTGATGATATCTGGTGCAAGAGAGACATTGAACGTCTTCACATAGTCCTCCACAACTCTTCTATTCATCGCCACCTGCTTTAGATTCCTTGCCCACCTTCTCTGACCCAGGAAATCATCTTGCCTCGGCGGCACCTCGGTTGTCCCGGGATCAAACAATGTTTGCCTCATCCTCTCGTATATGTACTCCGCGGACCCGTGCTCCTTCGCCCTGATCATGGCCGTCATTACTGCATTTAGGACAACCGTATCTACCACTTCACCCGAGTCCACCAACTCCCGATACGCCTCCCTGACCTTCTCCCCATCACCGCAAATCCCGTGGTAAGTTATCAGTGTGGTGTAGGTAAATCTGTCCGGCTTTAGATTGCGGTTCTGCATCTCTTTAAGGATCATGTCCGTAAGCAGTGGCGTCGGGGATCTTGACGCCACATCGAGAAGGACATTGAACGTAGTGGTATTAGCTTGGATTCCTCCCTGGTACATCTCAGATTCACCCCATAAAGCTATTGCCGATTGGGTTTCTGTGATGGTAACACTGTTGAAAGAGCGAGAGACGAACGAGATGGCTGCATTCCACTCGTTTCGAGATACGGGCAGATGACAGGCCTTCATCTGGTCCAGAATAGCGAGATATCGGGTTGTAGCATCCATATTTCGTCTAGGGACTGACATAAACCTTGCTACCAACATGTCCAACTCCTCCTGATTCAAGAGGGTGGGCCGAGGAGGGGGGAGTTTGTTATAGAGTTCGTAGAGTACGTTGTGTGGGGTTTTGGGGTCGATGAGATATTCGAGAAACTCTTCCAAGCACTTCTGTTCTTGCGGGTCGTCCAGACACCGCGCAGGCAGTATCTGGCCTTGAGCTGCCCTGGCTTCTCGCAAGTACGGTGGTACAGGTGGGGGAAATTCCAGATGGCGACGCCAATAAGGGTCGGCAATTGAACGTAATTCGTCCCTGGTCTCTTCCCATGATATTGGTCTGTCATCAGGTCCACGTTTGTAGGCGTCAGAACCCCCACCAGAGATGACCAATGGCCTCCTTTGTAGAAAATAGACGCCGTTACGACTAACCGAGGAGTGTGCAGGGGAGCGGCTCTTGCATAGACCTCCCCTTACCAGGGAATTGACGAAAAAGGTATCCATGGAACAACACTGAGCTCCGGACGTAGGAACTCGTCGAGGAAAAGGGGGTGCTATGTTTTTTTTTGTAGGGAGTGGAGTGGGGCGGAAACAGGTATTTCGGAGTTTCGACAGAGAACAATTAAAACGACCGATATGACTGGAAAAGTGGATATTGCGGATAAAGATATAGGGCACTCGAGTACCCCCACCTAAAACAGTAATTGTACCGTTTGTCGAGAGATCCAGTAGGAACAAGAGGAACATGGAGGTTCGTGGGAAGGACACATTGTGTAGTTTCACAAATTACGGCAGACTGATCAAGCGGCTATTCGCATCGAGAAATCCGCGCTCGATTAAGAATATTTTCGGTGAGGGTGGTCCAGAAGGAGGGTTGATGGATAATGAGAGCAACTTGGAGGGGAGAGGGTAGAATAATGACGCTCGATTATTTCATCATAATATGGAGGAGGACCCTGACACTAATACCGGTGGTTGAGCCTCAAAGCAAACAACTATCATACGAAGTATATTCCAGACCTAGATATACCCAAGGGCTATTAACACTGGGAACGATTTGCCACCGCTAACTCGTGCGTGCTGGGGACTCCAATTCGCCAGGCCTAACACCCTCTCGAGATAAAATCTCGCCTCGGTAGGGTTCTATTCTCGATAAACCCTTGGAATCTCCGAGACGGTATTCGTACAACGGAAGCGCAATCAGACCCATTCGGGAGTGCTGTTTCAAACTCGCGCCTCCTCTTCACCCTCCTCACACCGCTAGCCATGATCAATTTACGACGCTTCCGGTCTATACGGGTTCACCTGAATGCCTCACAAATGCTCGATGCCGGCCGCCTCCAGGAGGAACCTGCCTGGTACCGTGCTGTTAGCTCAATTCCTCCTACCACATCTCTTGTTCGAACAACTCCGCCACAGCTAAGAGAACGAAAAAACCCATGGACAAAGAATCATAGACCGAGCCGAATGTATATGCCCCAAAAAATTGAATACCCTGAAGATAAGTTACGCACCCAGTTTTACAGAGATCATCCGTGGGAGTTGGCGCGGCCAAGGATCTTGGTGGAGAACGATGGGAAAGATTACCTGAAATACGATTGGAGCAAGATGCCGCAAAAGGGAAAGCCGTTGGATGGTGAAAGGTCAGTATGAAGCACTCGTACCTTTCCTCTTTATTCTTTTCTTCTCCTGCATTCTCCTCTTGATCTTGCTAACTTGTCGACAGTGTGGTACAACGGCAGCTATGGTTAAGGGAACATATACCGGATATGAGCGCGGAAAGAGCATACGACGTCGCCCGAAAGGAGTTTTACGATCTCCGTTTGCAGGAGGATATCGAACGTCGCATCGCTATTGAGGAGGCTCGGGCATGTGGGGCTACGTTCGGAAAGACCTATCTGGAGCTCGGAATTGAAATGGAAGAGAAATATCTGGAGCAATGGAGGAAGGATACAATTGCCTTTATTCTCAAGAGACGACAGAGGCAGTCTACTTTTAAAGTTATTGAGTTCACTCCCGCTTCTGCCGAAGAAGGATTTATACCAGCAAGTGAGGCAGAGGAGGGAGAAGGAGGGGAGACTGCCGGAGCAGAAAAGGCAGCAACTGCTACCCCATACCCCTTGTTTACCTGATACTACTATAGAAAGTACGGACCCGATCTATTACGGCTCTTGTAAATACCGGTACTGTATCTTAGTCTGTAACCATGCTCCAAAATCACTCTTCGGATTGCTTTCCTCTCGGGGTTGGGAGGATCGGAGCAGAAAAAAGAGCAGTCTGATGCAGTGGTTAACTTAGTTGCTAACTCACATGAGAGCGGGGCTCAGTGTCACGTGCTTGTGAAATATATCGTATCGGTGTCCGCCGTGAACATGATACTATCCTTGATGGGAATTGTGATGGCGGTAGCGGTGGTGCAAAATATGGTATCGTGCTGCTCTCCTACAGTACTGGCAACCGGTGTTCTGCAGTCAATGGTATAATATTTGTACTCGAGTACTGTACAGACAGACAGGAAAATGTCACCACAGTTATTATAAACAAACACTGGCGCTCCATTCCTCACCGTGATTGGATGGGAATGCTGCATGACCATGATGGGACGATAGTGCTCTTCGTCCCCATTCCTTCTGTTTATTTTCCATTTATTTCTTTCCACTCTGCTCTCCTCTTCTGCTCAGTCTCTTCTGTCAAGTGTCGTTGGCTATATTCGTAGTTTGAGGTGTGACAAATAGTGTTGATCCCTTATTGGATAGCGGATACGACCCCTGAGGCTCGGTATGGCAACTTTCCCGCACAGTGGGTTTTACATTCAAGACAACTAGGGGGAGGGCAGTGGACGGCGGTCACTGGATGGGAGGCCAACCAAGTTTTCTGGTATCATAGCACGGGGAGAGAAAGGAAGGAGAGAGAGAAAAAGGCAGCAGCGGAATAACGTACAAGTAGCATTGCTGGGTGTTGATCTATGCTGGTGCTTCAAGGTTGCAGGTGCCGCAGTTCTCCGGTTGTCCCGTACACTGCCAGTGGTGACACCGAACCCCAGGAACGAAGAAAGAAACGGGGCCCTGCTGCATGGTAGTCTACCGGCAGTCAGAAAGCCCATCGCTCCACTGCGTTGACTCGCTACGATTCCCACCACCTCTTCCTCTTCCTCAACCTTGCCCCCCCCCCGAACAAAAGATACGACGAGCAAGGCAGAGGATAACACAGAGGAAAGGAGGAAACAAGAAGTTCCGTCACAGGACCCAGTGTGTTCAGCCATTCATAGGCTCCCTTGGCTGAGCACGCTCTTAGCGTTGCAGCAAGCGGGTACAGAGACAAGTGTGCTCTAAAGAATCACCGAAATAAGGAGCAGGCGGGAAGGAAAAAAGAAGAAAAAGAAATAACCCCCGGAAGAGAAAAAGAAAGAAAGAAAGAAAGAAAGAAAGGGGAGTTGGAGTTTTCTGTGGCTATCGGATCATCTGTGGCCTTCTTTCGTTCTTCCTCTTATATTCCACCACCTCTGTCCGACATCTCACTCAAACAGGCAGACCCTAGACCTCGGTGTCTATTTATCCTCTCCCCCCTTCGATACCGTAGTGTACCGGAACAATTCTCCCACGATGAACGGTTTCGAACTCGCTTCTTACAAGGCATCGACTATGCGTAGCGATATCACCACCATTTATCACCCCTCCCCTCCCCCATCGCTAGCCGGCAATGTCTCCTCCGGAAACACCCCCGGATATCGCCAATCACCGCCAGTCCCAATAGACAAAACAACTTGTATAGCTCTTGTCACAAACGCCCTTAAAGAGGCACGGGAAAAGAACCGGGAGGCTGAACTGAAGGGGAGGGGCAACAACTCACCCGACTTGGGTGCGCAGCAACTATTCTACCAGCGATCGGGAGTGACGATTGATTTGAGCCATCAAAAAATCTCAAACATTCCACTAGAGGTGATTGAGCTTATTAAGGATGAGATTGAAAGGTCAGAAAACAGAAATACTCCGATAACCCCAACCACAATTTACACAAGACACACTCCCTACTTTTTTGACTGCGTTTACGCTATGAGTCTAGTGGTGGGGAATAGGCCTGCCGGGGAAACGTGCCGGTATTGCTCAGAAAATAAGGATTCGCTAACGTCCTGCCTTCCATGTGCGCACCCCTTGCAGATTGGCCTTGGCTCATAATCAATTGACTTCGTTCTCGGAGGAATTCTCAAGTTTACCTCGCCTTCGGTATCTAAACCTCCGATCCAACTTCCTTAGGGAGTTCCCATTGCCAGTACGATTGCTCACTCTCGGCTTGCGTGCTTAAGACCAACAGCTGACATTCGCACACAGCTCACCAAACTGCCCTCACTCGAGATATTAGACGTTAGCCGAAATCGACTACGATCACTACCACAGGATTTTGGGAAGCTCATTTCATTGAAGGTAAGAAAGTCTTGTTCATACCTTACTCTCCAAGCGCAGCTATAAGGCATCGGAGATACGTTGAAATGCTTTCCAGGCTGATTGAGCGATCAAGGTTCTATCAATGTCAAAGAACAAGATCAATGAGCTGCCAACATATATAGGGGATATGAACGAGCTCAAGATACTAAAATTGGATCACAATCCTATACTTTTTCCACCAAAGGATGTTCTGGAAAATGGGGAAGCGGATCGGGATACATGGTTAGAAACTGTTAAACGGTTTTTGAAAAATCACGCCGAAAGGTCCAACCCATCGCTGGATACAGAGTCCGCGACCAGGTAGGCTACTCCTTTGTCAGCAAGGGGCAGTAACAATATTTAATGCCAAGCAAAAAAAATCGTGACTGACAGATGACATGTGATTGGTTGCAATTCTAGCAGCGACGAAGGTGGAGGTGACAATGACTTTTCCTCGCTCAACACCACGGTGGCAAGAACCCCAAGCTTCGAATCAGAAACACCCGAGCCCAGTTTGTCAACACTCAGACCGTTAAAGCCAGTGGGCGAAGTGACTATGCCAGGGCCTAATGGCCCCCAAAAAGGTAGCTTACCTCGAAGACCACAAAAACAGCCTACTCTTTCACCATCACCAGCACTATCCACACCTACTTTAACGAGCCCATCTCAATCACAGATAAACTCCAGTGCCAATTCCTCACAAACGGAAAGGTCGCGAAGTAACAGTGAATCTACTGTTCAAGCCCACCGCGGTAACCGGCGCATGGGCATGCTGGGGCCGAGGAAAACTTCTAATGTTCCGGCTGCCGAGGGATTAAGAACTGTCGAAGAACAAAAAACTCTCAAGCACCAACGAGGATATTCTCACGATTCCATCATAGATTCCGCTCAGCGCTCAGCTCATATGGGGAAAGCAATTGATGGAAGCTCACGCAGCCCCACCGATAAAGAGAGGCAACCAGGACCTTATTTCCGGAGACTGTCATCCTTACCAGAAAACAAACGTACATCTCTATCTTCTGCTCGAGTCGGTGAAGCTGCTCGGGGAATATTATACGCCATGTCAACGCTGCAGAGACCAATTGAGCAGTATGTTCAATCAGCTGGAGATCCCAACGGTAGCCCTCACCACAAGGTGGAACGGGTGCTTTATAACGGGAACCTGCATATCGGCTCTCTTGTTGGTTCATTGGAGGCCTATGAGGAGAAGGATGATGAGACTGCGGTGGACAAGGTAGTGGATACATGTTGCGCTTGCCTCGCAGCGTTCAAGCAAGTTCTGAATATGGTTCAATCTGACTCAAGAGAAATTGGTGCCGGCATGGTTGGCGCTGATGCGAGATATATGAGGACACTATTGTTGATGGTGTATGGATCATACGTCGAGATCCAAAGCTCGTATGATATTATTAAGCCATTGATTGTGGGGCAATCGTCTGATAGTACCTTACGTTCTCACAACCAGGGCAATTTGGCAACCCGCTACCCGCCTAATTCAAATGGCAATCTTCGGGTTAAATCTGCATCAACTGCTTCGTCTACAACCGCCATTGCTACTTCCATCGTTTCGATTTCACAGTCAGCGGTAGCTCCACAAGCGTTGCCAACCCCTCGAGGCGACATATTCGCACCTCCCCCTACCCCGGGATTTCAATCTAATCTTTCGCATTCTTCTGATGGAGGATTTGACCATGACGAGCCGTTGTATGGCAAATTCCAGGCTGCCACTGCCGCAGCACTTTCAACCCTTCCTATCATTGATAGGGAAATCAAAATGGCTGTGACCCAGAATCTACAACCTAGCACTACGTTGAAATTACGAGAGGTTTCTTCACTTTGCGCCACAGGTGCGGAGGCAGCCAGGAGGCTCTCGAAAACCAAGTGGGATGCCATTCGCGATGGTGACATTGTTGAACGGAGGAAATTTTGGGAAGATACGAATAAGTTTACTAATGTTGGTTCCTCCCTCCTCGGGCTGTTTAAATTGAGGTACTAACGAATTTGTGTTTGATCTAGCTCGTTATTAGTATCGCCGAGCTCATCAAGTCAGTGACCCAAGAATATGCCTTTCCGAGACCCACTTTAGCCGCTGTGGGTACGGTAGTTCGACCAACAAAAGACCTTTATATCCTCATGAACAGCTCTTCTTTCCGCCACATGGCCGAATCTCAGCAACCCTCTCCTCATAACGGCGGATCTCTCTCCCCAACCCCCTACTCCACCTCCTTTCCCTACCAACCTATAACTGCTACCCCACTTTCTGCAGCCTTAGGGCATGCTGCGCAAGCAACAATGCCGCAAGGCTACCCTGTCCACGGCCCAATGGGCATGGGCGGTGCAAATGGTTTTGGCAGCAGGAGTGCTACACTTCTTAGCCAAACCCACCCAACAATGACCAGTGCGGTGGGAGAAATAGGAATGCAGTTCGGAAACGGCATCATGCCACCTGGTTTAATGAGTCCTGGTGCAGTCCGGGACATCAAGCCCCAGCATTCACTCAAGTAGCTCATTTGGGCCTGCTGCATACCCCTTCCTCTTACCTTTACACCATTCCTAATTGACCAAGTCTTACCGATTGATATTATTAACCACCATATTACTTCGCAACTGTGCGACGGGCCGCCTCCGCCTAATCACCCTTTTCTTTTGTCTCGTTTATTTATGCCTACTTGGTGTTGGAGTTTTTCTTTTCTCATTTATATCACTAGTCGCTAGGCGTCGTGTTTGACCTTTTTAAAAATATTTCGGTGGGAGGGTGATATCTTTAGATTGGGATACGCAAAAGCGATGAGGGTGTTAGATAATTTTCAATGTTTATTATACGGTATTCCCCCAGGAAATGAGGAGGATTCGTCTCTATTCTAAAACCAGTGACTTCTTTCGTAGCGCGCTCATAGAAGAGGGTCACGCAGGTGCCACCAGAGAAAACATCTCACCAATAATCACTCGGGGATAGAAGCTGTTTGTGATCCATGTGTTGCGTGAGGCCGTAGAAGCTGTCGTATACGATATGGATGACAGGCCCCTCCGAGATCCCCGATCCAGGAGGTTTGTGTCCCCGCAAGACCTGCAAATCTCCAGCTCCCCTGTTCCACAATTACGCTACCAGGTCCGTCATGCGCTTTCCCCCTCACTCCATACTATACACCTTCAAGCCAAAATTGTTCATACAAGGCAGCGTTGGCTGAATGACGCCCCGAAACAGCAGGTATCATATCCCAAAGCAAAAATTAAATAGGAACCCAGATTCCACGCCTATCCCAGGAAGACCGTCCGTATGGTAGTAACTCATCCAATGGAGCTCCCAACCTAAGAGAGCAACCCCGGCATATCACAGCGCAGATGGGCATACACTCTCTACCTTGTCCAATCATCCAAACCCCCAGAATTTACCAAAGCGAGCGAGCAAACCGGCCACTCGTGACCCAACATAGCCCCAGTACTTCTGGTCACGATCCTGCTATAACGTGATGGTGGAATACACTCTCTTCAAAGTAGGTTTATTGTTGAACCCGAGTGCGTATCTTCTTGTCACAAACTCTGTTCTTTTCGCGGTGTATCATACTCTGCATGCGCTGCGAGGGTACCGTGATATACCATACCGCGGATTGGCTGTGCCGGGTGATAAGGCATGGAGACACCGTGAGCGCTAAGGGTTAGGTTACCCAGATAGCCAAGCCCCAGCGGGTATTTAAACCCATCCCGTTGCATCCGCTCCTCACATATTTTTTTTTATTCTTTTCCATAACGATCCTCAATATACCCTTGCGATGACCTCTGCGCTTCCACGTCCTTTGCAAATTTTCGATTTGGGATCTAGATTGATAGGAGGCCTTTCCTAATTCTGGGCTTTCGCTTTTTGTGAATGGGAGTTTGGATTCGCTTTTGGCGCACATGCTTGCCTGATTGCTTGAGGTTGGTTATGTGCTATAGTTTTTTTTCCTCTGTAGGTCGCGGGGGGGTGGGAGATGGGTTGGGATTTTTGGGCGATGTTTTTATCGAATGAATTAAGCCGAGTGGTTGATGGATGGATTGATGTTGAAGTTGGAGACCAATGACAGATACAAGTACGGTACGGTAGTGGATCCCCATCCCACTTTCCACCTCTCGCGCCCACATGAGGACCTCGAGCACCGCACCGCGCCCAAGCGGTTTCCCATGACCACAATTTCCTCACTCCTAACGATCCCTTCGCCCAATGCCCCACGAAATGGGCATCGCAGGCCATGATAAAAGGTTTCCCCTACTGAGTGGTACACCTCTAGTTTTGAACAATGCCACTGGGCTAGTGTCCCACCGCAACCTTGTTACCGTATATCCATACTAGAAGCACCCCCTTTGCCTTAAGCATACCTAGATGCTTCCCTTCTTTTTCGGGGTGGATAAACACCGCCACGACTGCTTGTAACATTGTGGAGTGTCCTCACCTGCGTTCGATATCAGATCCGACCAGAGTGCTTGAGCAGTGGTGGGCTGGGCCGAAGTTTGACCTGGTTTCCGGGTATCGGATTGGGACTCGAAGCGGAAACGCAGCTTCGAGTGTGGTGGGAGGGTGCGCGCCCAGAACAGCCGCAACCGGGAAACAAACCTAAAGTGCTCGAGTAACTTAGATGCGGAGGAGTGGAATGTACTCGAGTACGATACCTAAATACGACCTGAATACCATACCAAGAACCATGCATGAGCTAAGGTGACTTGTGGTTTTTTTGTTCCCAGATCTGTTGTGGAAATATTCACATTTATCTCTATCACTACCGGTATTCGACACATTTAGAGAGGCTGATATGTTCTATAATTGATGCTCTGCCCAACGGAGTGCTGGAGATAAGTTACTGGCTGGTGGGAGATTGCAGACACTCAAGTGCTCTGGACTTCCCGCAAGAACCAGATGCCAACGGCTGAGGCGTGGAATCTTCAGGGGCATCTGGACACACGCCCGGGCACCCAGCTCGGTACATCAGTGCGAATTGTAGAGAGGGGTGGGGAAGTTTTCTTGCGGCACGCACGGTCACTCGAGATCACAATTCCCCAAACCTAATGACAAGCCGGAAAAACAATTCTCCGTCGCCTTTGTGCCTGTTGCATTACAATAACACAAGGTTTTTTTTTTTAAAGAAAAAAAAAAAAGACACACGACAGTGCACACCCGGAAGTCCAAAATACCCAATTAACGAAGAGAGATCCCGCTTAGAGGAGAAACCGCATCGGGAAAGGGAGGGGGCGAAAAGAAAGGGGGAAAAAAAAAAAAGTCTTCAGATTCAACACAGCTGCCAGAGGCGCAAATTTCCCCATGCTTACGGAGTATCGCTTCTTCTAAACCTAGGGGGCCCCGGTTAGGTAGACAAGGCTCCGAGACAGCTGGAGGAGCCGCCTTCGCTTCCGGGGAAAGCAAGGACGACTCGGACCACACGAGCAATCACACAATTCATAGAGAAAACCGCAAACTCCCATTTTTGACATTCTCCTTTGCTCGAACACGGGATCCTTCCTGGCAGGTGGACAGCTCTCTCCTCTATCGGTTACTTGTTTCAGGGAGTTTTTTTCTTCCCCTTCTATTCCCCTTGGGCTCCCGCTGCTGGCATCGCCGCTACATCATCAACATAGTAAACGACCCGCTGGAGGTATTGCTCTTGCCTCCGTAACCTGGGCTCCGTCGACAACACCTGCGCCCATCACAAACGCGAAAGATACCGGTGATATCGCGAAATGTCGGATTTAACTTGGATCGATGAAGCATTCCCGATACCCTCCCAGCGCAGTTTAAATAAATCGGTCCGAGATGTTATAGGTGGCTGACCCCCTAATGTTTATTTTATTTTCTTATTTTTTATTTTTATTTTTAATATTATTTTTATTTCTTTCCTTTTTTTGCGATTCACCCGGTAGCTTGCTAATTCCGTGGGCGAAATACAGCGAGAGAGCCAAAGCACTCGACCATCTTCCAGAACATCGGGAAATATATACTCTCACTGAGGGGCACGGATGAGCCACCCTCCAAGAAGCGGAAGGTCGGGGATGGGAAGAATGGCGTTAAGGAGGAGGTGAAGGTGGAGGATGTGGTGTTGGGGGAAGGGGATATCGTGATTACGGTCAAGGAGATTAGTTTCTCGATTCCTGCGCGGAAGAAGTTTACTTTGCTGCTCACGAAAAGCTCCATGAGTGCTGTCAATGCGGCTACGGGAGTGGTGGAGTTTGGGGTTCCTTGGAGCGAGATTCGTGAGTGTTCCCTTCGGTCAGTTTTTTCACTCTGCTTAGGGGTGTGCTGATTTGCTACCCGCACGAGATAGAATACGTTGCATGTCTCCCTGTTCCGGACAAAGCTGCGCGACAATGGAATTTCTGCGTTTTCCCTAGGGGAGCGGAAGGGCTTGGAGATGGGTCCGCGGATGCTCTTGTGTTTACTATTCCGGACGGTGCGCCCAAGACTGCCACTGGAGATGGAATGGGCGCAGGGCATGACACGAGTACCTACAAATCCCTTCTCATTGCTGTCTTTGGTAGCCTTCTTGATGGGGGGGCGAAGGTTTTGGAACCGGATGAGAAAGTCTTTTACAGCGCTGTCCCGCAGAGCCACAGGAAAGGGGAGAAGGCCTTCCATGTCAAGGCGCATGTTGGGAGTAAGGAGGGTGGGCGCCTCGTTACCCTTGATTCTCCAGAGATACAGCGTGCTAATAGTTGAGCGGGCTAGGTTATTTATTTTTTCTGAAGAATGGAATTATGTGGGCTTTTAAAAAACCTCTCATCTATTTCTCGTTTGCGGCGATCGAATCGGTGTCCTATACCTCGATTACAAAGCGAACACTTAATCTGTCCATTCACGTTGCGGAGGAGCGTGGCGATGCGGAGTTCGAGTTTAGCATGATCGACCAGGAGGAATACGCCGGCATAGACACATACATCAAGGGGAATCGATTGAACGACGCGTCCATGGCCGAAGCAAGGCGGGCTAAAAAGCATAACGTCAACGGGAAGGAGGGGGAAGACGGAGAGGATGCGGGCAATCTGCAGAAGGCTCTGGAGGAATTGGAGGACGAAGAAGAGGAGGATTATGTTCCGGGCGGGGATAAAGACGATGATGGTAGCGGGAGCGACGACAGTGAAGAGGACGAGGAAGACGAGGAAGACGATGAGGATGGGGATGAAGGAGGCGATGATGACGAGAATATGGGTAGCGATGACGAGGGAAGCGTTGATTTAGAAGATGAATTGGGGAGTGAGCTTGAAGACGTCAATACAGACGTTCCAAGGGCTAAGAGGGCAAAGAGATGATGGGTTCTCACTCGATTATATATTATGGTGTATTGTCACTGGCATGATATTTGGTCGCGGGTTCAAGCGGGAAGGCAAAGAAAAAGAATACTTGGACCAAGGCGGCTTTGTTTGTATTGCACAAATTATGTTTCGTTCATTATTCACATGCTATGTAAATTAGAAAAACTGACGTTTGGATATCCCTCCAAAGTAACCTCTTCCACCCCCGCTATATATCTCGAGCCCTCATAGCGTCCGGTTTCTTGACGTCCCCAGTCGGCCTCCCCGCCGCTATATTTTCCTTCATCCTCCCCTTTCCCTTCCGGCCCAGCAGCTAACTCGTCCACTCGGGAGTGCTGATCTGCTCAGTATCCACCGTCCTGATAAACTCTTCATTAACATACCTTGCATAATTACCCTCAATACTCCGGCTATCAATGAAATAGCCAACCTACTCATCCTCGGCCAACAGAGGGGGGGGGGGGAAGAGACTGGCTACATAACAAAGTGGGAGTATGATTCCGCCCCGTCGACTTCCTCAACACAAGTCGCGACACGAGTCCCGCATCCGCCGCCGAGAGTGAGAACGGGCAAGTGCGCCTCGGTTAAGTGCTCCAGCGTGCGCTCTGCCGTAAGCTTTTATAGCGACCCGAAGGTTTCCCACGTGCTCGCTTGCCAGGGGTCTGTGTGTTCAGGGCCTTCTGGCTGTATGTCGTCCCAATTCGCGAGGCTTCGGCGGTATTCCCGTTGTGGAGGAGGTTGTCATTTCGAGGCGGAAGGTGGGGGGAGCGTTTTCAACTTGTAATTGTTGATGGGGGAAGTGGGGGAGGGGCGATCGGAGAATGTGGAGGTTTCCCATGGCCACCGCTGAGTAGCAGTGTATTAGGTTCGGTGGTGCGTCGGTCGCTATCGAGAGGGGTTCTGGTGGGATTGGGGGTATCGCTGCTGTCATTTTGTGTCTCTAGCCATTTGAGGGTCGGAGGGGTTGGTGGGGTGCATGTTTCCGGGGTATCATATCATATCATACAAATAGGTGGATGTAGATGTAGATGTAGATGTGCGTGGGGAAAGTTGGGTGCCGGGGTTTTTGGCTGAGGCTTGGAATAAGCTTTGCCGTGCAGGATGCAGGGTCCGAGCGTTCTTAAATCCATCTCGGGTTACCGGTAGCCTAAATATTTGGAGGTAGCTAGTCTATCTGTACGAGTAGATCTTCTGAACCACCTATCATACCTCGCGATAGAGATACGGCATCCACACCGAGGGTCTCAATGAGCACTCACCTCCTGGATATCCATTCCTCTAGGAGGTCCGGGGCATTATGCCCGATACTTCCATTCGTTCCACTGTACAGAGGGTATCGCAGCTGGCATCAAAAAAAAGGAACTGGCTAGGAGATACCATACCTGTATTGTAATGGCCGGATTATCCCACAGATTGTGGGTGGCCACCGGCCCCTCCAAGAAAGTCGCTAATCAAAAGGGGTTGTCGGAGAAGTCTTCTAGATTGTCGGTGCAAACCACTCGTGAAGTCCCGATGTTTTAAATCACGCTCCTCACCTTGCCCCCCCCCCCCCCCCCCCCCACCTCACACCCGGTGTGTCCAAGCGCGGATCGACAATGAGAAGGACAGCACAGGATCCCTTCTGGTGCAGGGGATAGTACCACAGATGAGAAATATTTTTTCTCGTGGTGTCTCTTCTTGAAAACCTTGCTTCAGGAGATGGGTTTCCGCATTGTAGCTATTCTCGTGGCGCGCACATTGCGGGACGCGGGGCGGATCTAAGGTACGGAGAGATAGTCTACACGAGCATGGGATCCTGGTAGCACCTACCAAGAAGGTTGGTGGAAGATCTAACTTATGGGAGTTGATTGCAAACATGCTAGCCTATTGGGAGAACAGGCGACAGATCACTTGCCCACCACTCCCCTCAGCCCCACCATGGTGTGTCGACCGCACCCGATTTCATATCCGTTGAGCTCCTTACGACAACTTTAACACCTACCATGATATCATTATATGCGAAATACCCCGGATTCTACATATATATATCATATCACAGGTTAGATCCTCTCCGTCGATTAGGTACATCTCATGTCTGACGTTTGGTGCTGGTGGGTTGTAGAGCGATAGTGACTAGTGGTCTTAGGTGCAATCCGCGGAACCGGCGCTTTGCCCAAGAGCAGAGCTTTGGCGAGAGAACCTTCCAATCGTGCCCAATGGCTGTTGCACTTTGGAGACACAAGTCGTAAATGGCCTAGCATATAGACTGGAATTGGCTTTCGTAGCGACGACGGGTCGGACTTAAGCTGGAAGTTATGTTCGGTCGTGGAAATACGATAGTGGGGTAACAGGAGCCTGGGCGGCCACGCATCTACCAAATAGGTGGAGGGATTTACGATAAACTAGAAGCTATGCGTGGCCCTACATTGGATGGAGTGTGAAGGAGTCAGATGCGGTACTGGATTGTCAGGAAATGTGCGACGAACCGGAGATCGTTCATGCGCGCGTGTTGGTGGATGGTGAGAAGGCTCTTGGGCAAGACTATCTGGGCACCATATTTAGGGGGTGTTTGGCAGCCGTGGTTTGTAAGGTAGGATGCGTTTGGCTCCACGAAGTTTGTAAGGTAAAATTTTTGTATGTTACCTGATGAACTATGGTTTGAAGGTTCCTTAACTAGGGCTTGAAAAAAAACCCCTACTAGTACAACAAGTAAACTTGAGGGTTAATATATTTATAAAATTAATAAATACCTTGAATTTGCCTCAATTTAAACCTCTTATGATATTTTTATTGCATCAGCCTCATTGTCATTCACTGCTTAAGGCCAAAAGGGTGGGATTCAGAAGATCAATCTCCCAATCTGAGGTAGATCAATTGTATAACTAAATTGAATCAGGAGGGAAAAATTATGTCTAAAATGCAATTTAGGGCACAAGTCTAAAGGGTTACAGTGTTTTATATATATATAATATTATATATATACTAGAAACGTTCCTTAAGATGTTTGGCAAGGGATACCTTACAAACTGTGGGTTACCTTACCTTGGAAGCTGGGGGGTCCGTAAGGCACACTACCTTACAAACTTTGACGTGCCAAACACCATCTTATTTTCAGTGAGCTAGGTGTGGTGCTGCATGAGCAAGGAAAGTACAACGGAATTCAGTTTTTGCCTCAAGCTGTCATGGGATGGCGCGAGATGACGCTCGCACTAGGTGACCCAGGCGCACTGCCGAGTTTTACTGCCATAGGCGGGAAAGCTGGGTAGCCTGGAGGCGCAAAAGGAAGTGCACACGAGGTATGATACTCGGGTGTTTACTTCCGCCTGCAGGAGGAGATACGCTGCCTCGACCACTTCGCAGTGACCTCCTACTGGCTGTCGATGGCCCAAATGTGGCTCTGCCTGATCGGGCAAAGTATGCTGGGGTAGAGATGATGTATTGACATGCCTTGGACGCTACAGGTAAGGCTCTGGGACCTGCCAATCTGGATACCCCCAGCAGCATGAATAAGCTAGGTGAAGCTCTGCCTGGTATCAAAAGGTATGGAAGGTATGGCATAGGGGAGGCCATTTGTCGACGCGCATGGGTAGGTACTCGAGTAGAGAGGAAGCTCTCGGAGTAGGTCACACATCTACTCTCGCCAGTGCTGGTAATCTGGATCGTGCGCTATACGATTAGAGAAAGTACGAAGCAGCAGAGACTATGTTCTGATTTGAACAAGTAGATGAAAAGATGATTGTGTAATGATCCCTACTCAGGTAAGGTCTTGACAATAGGTAACGAGTACTCTTTCACATGTTGATAGCTAAGTCCTATGACTCCTATATTCCGATGCCTATCTGGGTAGTGTGTATCCCTTTTACGTTATGGAAAGAAGCTAGAGGCAACATACTTAAACTTCTACTAGCACTTCTTCTCTATTGTTATTAGTACAAGCTCCTTTCTTGCTTCTAACATTAGTCTAATCTCTTGTCCTAATGGAGCATCTCACCTAGGACTCTCCTTTGGAGATGTAGTTTGACAAGGAGGAGAAATAGTTAAAGAGCATGATGTGTTTTCTTGATTTATAAAAGTAGTAACAACTAATAGGTAAGGAAATAACCAAATGACAGTATGAAGAGCTTATTTCCTTGAGCCCTAATGGCCACTTATATAGTCACTCTTTATACAACCCTAATTCTAGCCACTTGTATCCATGAGTTACATGTACTGTATGACTTCCAAGTGTAAGCCATGCAAGATCCATTAACTGACTTCTATGAGTTACTGTACAACATACTATAAACCAATCATAAATTAAATAACAAGTTATAAATATTATTATGTGCTAATTATGTCACATGCATAAAACTAATCATGATGACTCATAATCTGAGTCATATACAAAATCATAACATCATGTAACTCATAATTATAAGTTACCAGACAATTAACCAATTATAATGTACTGATAATAATATTATTATAAGTATAAGTTCTATAAAATCCTCTGACTTGTATGTGAGTCAGATTATCATATATACTTCAAGTTAATCAATTTGGAGGTAGAAAAATCCTCCACTTAAGTTAAGTTAGAGTTAAAACTGGAATGTAAGTAAATATATACTCTGTGGATAGTAAATAAAACCTTTGGTAAAGGATTTCTTACAGTGAAATTCAATTCATTCATTTTGTTCTTATAATTTTTAGTAACAATACTAGTATTAGGAGTTTAGGTGATCTTTTTTTCATCTATTCTAATCTGCTCTGGAAGGTCCTATACCACAACACTATTATCGTCCTCTCTTTTCTGTATTTGACATACTGGGATTTTTTCATGTATCCTGAAGGCACCTCTTATTATATCATAATATATTAGTATTTTACTCTTGATACTCAAAGCCTATAACCTATACTAATAATGTTATTATTCTAAACAACAACCAAAGGACCTACTTTTGAGTATGATAATTCAAAGTTGGATTCTAGATTAATTTGTATTTCTTATTGTTCCTCCAATTTTTAATTTTCATTTCATACATTTTTTGTTACAGTATCCTTAACCCTATCCAGTGTTTTTCTGTCTTTTTCTACACGGTCACTTCGGAGGCACCCAGTATTATAGAATATTATTTGGGCCACGGTCACATAATTTCTTCCTCCAGAGCTCCCGCTGAAACTCCCGACATATTATGATAAGTACATATTTATATGATCACCGGAGATCACTCGCAAATATCCATAACTCTTGTGCCTTTTCGGCCTTGTGACAGGCTTGTGGAATCCGACCTTGGGGTCTGACGCAATGCCTCGGGCGTTCTAGAAATACCGAGGGCCAGAGGGAGAATCCCTTCCCTTGTTCTCCCGGTCCCGGGGAACTGCGCGCTGAGTTTTCCTTTGGCTGTGCGCAATGCTCGAGATGGCATTCAACAAGACAGCATGCCCGCAAGTGGGGAGTGATCTAGTAAAGTAAATGATGGCTAGTGGGTAATGATTCGCGAGTGCCATGTCGTAGGAAATGTGTGAAAGTTATGTCACTCCAATTGCGCCAGTTCCGGTTTCCGTAAATCCCATTAGATGAGTTAGCTCCTGTTGTCAACGCTAAATCAATACTTGAAGAGCAATCTCTCACCTCTGTATTGGATATTCGCCCGGCAGCGGGTGGTTCCTACAGTGCATTCTCCCCCGCCTAGGTCCATGGCAATCAATATTACACCATACCTAATGTGGCAACGCATTACTCCTTCTAGTGATATACCGGTAGCGTTGGTGCGGTATACCACTTGCCAAATTTCCAGCGGGATAAAAGGAGCTTCGGCAACACTATCACAGCAGATGATAGCTTAAGCTGTGTTTCTTAGTGGGCAACTAACCCGTTCTTCCGTTTATTAACAAGAGGTCTCGGTATTGACTCATATTCGGATCTGATAACTATTCTCACATGGGTGTGCTAAGAGGTGGGTGAAAGGGTTCCCACAACCACCGATATACAGAAGTCCGCGAGTGACGCCACGTGCCGGAGTGACTTTTCCCTGGGAGCTACCAAATGACAGTTCAGTTCATGTTGCATTCAAACCTCCTGTAGATATCTGATGACAAATACTTTCTATCCTCGCTCCTCCGGGGGGCCCGGGCAGACTGAAAAGGATGCGGGAGATTTTTTTATTATTTTTTTATTGATCAGATATCTCCCCCTCCTGGAGTTGGACAGTGGTTCCCCGGTTTCCCAGGAGCGTAACACCCAATAGCTACATAATAACCTTGATAATCGTGGTTGTGATTTATGTATAGACAGGATGCAAAACAAATGCGCGCGTAATCACCCCCCGCTGGAGTTCCTGACCGCGCCACCCCACCCCACGATGTCCGAGTGCTCTCAATATAATGGCCAGCTCCAAGTCTCTCATACCACATCACTCGCAAAAAGTGGCATGCGTCAGAGACTTCACCGATGCACCAGACAGCCAATACGAATCACTAGCAGGAGGTCCGCTGGAGGCTAATATGAACTGTAGCTAAACCGAACCCAAAATCCGAAGGGTAGTGCCGTGCTGTACAGTTCAGGAAGGCGTTGCTCTAGCTTCCCCAATTCCCCGATCCCCCCCGGTACTAAAAATCGCCTCATAAACCTCCTGCTCCTATATTGCTCGTTACTGCTAGTGCCCCCCCTCCCTCCATCACGACCTCTCTTTCATCTCTAAGGAAAAGGAAAAGAAGAAACAAAAATCACAAAAACACCCAACACGGTTACTCTAGCCGACTCAGAAACACCCCAAGCCCGGACCTTCCACTGCCGGTATCCACCCAACGGTTCCGGCACGCACCGCCCCGCTCTCCTCTTCCGCTACCGGAGTGCAGTGTGGTGGCGGCGATAAAAGATAGGCAGGTAGACTACGAGTACATCGAGGTGAAGAAGGCCCGCAACTGGGTTCGTAGTATATTGTACCACGCACGCACTGTGTGGTACCGGAGCACGCATGGGGTTCAGCGCAGAGAGAGCGAGAGAAAAAGAGAGAAAGACAGAAAGAGAAATGATAACAATAATCCTAAAAGTGCGACTCTGTAGCGCCAGGCTGCCTGGCGGAAGGGTCCCCGGGCGGGGGGGGGGGGGGAGATAAGGTACCTTTACGAATTTGGTAGGATGTACAGTACTTTACGGTACTACTGCAGGCAGCTACCAAAGATCTCGTAGAAACCTTGGGAATCGGAGTTAATCCGAAGCATCGGGGAGCAGGGCTAGGTTGAGGAAAGTGGGAATATTTTGACCACGGATATCACTGGCTCACATGGTGAGCGAGGGGTGTCACAGTAGTGTATGATATATCATCATTTCCTCCCTTCCCTTTCGCCGCCTTCCTCCCTCCCGCCTTCCCCGTAAACTAGGAAAATCCAGGGTGGTGGCTAGTTAGTTAGTTGGTCAGTCAGTCAGCGGTGCCGATGAAATTACTTTCTAAATCGGCAAACCACCGGGAAAGAAATATATGTCATAATTATTATGATACTGACTAGTATGGTACCACAGTACCGTTAGAGAGGCGGTTTGGGGGAGGGAGCTGCCGTAGTCTTCCCCGTGAAGTACCGATAATCTGCCGCCCCCTAAAAAAAAACTTCCCCATTCCCCTCTTAAGGTTATTGAATGGATTTGTGGGACTACCGTATGTATTGGAATCGGGATCGGGTAACAGGTGTTTTGTAAACAGCTTTCCTTTTTTTTTCTTTTTTCCTTTCCACCTCAGGTTGGGGGCACATGTAGATCAGGTTTTTTTTTCTTTCCTTTTTCCTTTCTTTTCTTTTTCCCCCTTCCCTCTTGGATTGTATCATATCAGAAAAACTTTCCGAGATAGAGTATTATACGGTAATGTCCGAGATAGTGCAATAGATAGCGGTGTCCAGTAACGTTCTATTCCTCTACTGTGCGCACTCGAGCACTTTTGCTTCACGAGGGAGCCTAGGAAAGAGTTTTTTTTTAGGGAAAAAGCATTTACTCGCGTTCGAATGGGGTTTAGTACCGGGGGCCGGCCGGGAGGTATGGATGGGTTAGCTATGGTAGTATCAGGTATCTACAGCTTTAGTAGGAATTATTGGTAGAATAGGCTGTGGAGAGATATGGTCCGAAGGAGCAACGAATCATTAGAATTCCCGCACGAAATTTAACGTTGTGAATGGGAAGAGCACACTAGACTATCAACAATATTATTATTACCGGTACAGTACTAGTATGATACTCGAGTACTAGAGTAGAGAGCGAAAAAATGGTACCCCCCAAAACAAGAACAAGTGATTCAGCCACGGGTTCAATACGATAGGATCACAATTTTCCTTCTTTCTGCAAAACCACACAATACCACTCCTCCCCCACCACACAACACCCCACAAAACACTAGCCCAAAACCCGCGATATCTATCCACCAGCCCCCCGCGCCACGCTAAACAACTAAGACAAAAACAAAAACCAATAAGTTGGAAAAAAAAAGAAAAACATATTTCCCCATAGGGCTATCCAAACAGAATACGCCCACAACCCACGCCCACCCACACATAAACTCTCACACAACAACCACCCAAACCCCCAGCCCACCAACCAACAAAAACGCAAACAGAAATGAAAATGCCGCTACAGCAGCCACAATTACCCTCTTCCCCCCCCAGATAACCCATCCACTCCCTGGCAAAAAGGAGTGCGCTGCGATCGATCGCGGATCGATCGGTCGGTTTCGAAAAGTACGTGAGGGATTAACCCGCGCACCCCTTCCCACAGCTGTCCAACCTCGAGTGTGGGAGGCGGTTAAGTTGGTTCAGCCAAGAAGGGGGAGGGTGGGTGTGATGGGAAGGGGGGGGGGGGCTGGCTGTCAGCACTGTTGCTTGCTGCGTTTGCATGGATGAGCACTCGGTGTGGTTACGGTACAGTTTACTCGAGCACTGTACGATTACAAGTTCGTAGTGGATGGGTAGATATGATACCGCTTATGGGTGGATGGATAGGATGCGATGGGATGCGATGGGATGAGATGGGTGGCCCGGGTTAGTTAACGCGTTCCGACCCGAAGGTAATCGTTGACTACTAATTTACGGTAGATAAGTGGTGATATCATACAAGGAAGTGTGTGTGTGTGAGTGAGTGTGCATATGCTGATGTGTGATGACATTTGTATTAAGCTAAGCCACCCCACATGAAAAAAAAATGAAAAGAAAAAAAAAATCGGTCCCGGGAAAAAAATAATTCCGGCGATGTAAATTGATAGATACCCCGAGTGATAACCAGTGACCCGGATATAAGATTGGACTTTTTCCTTTTTTTTTTCTTTTTCCCCTTTCTCCTATGATAAAGGATTACCCGAGGCTTTGGAATGCAGATCGGAGGGTTTGGTTTGATCTTTTTTTTTTTTTACCCCCCACAAGGGGAAAAAATAGATAAAAAAAATGACGTTTTTACTCCCCTGACATGGCCTGAACTGTACTCGAGTACGGTACAGTGTTGAGGAAAGTATTCCCCGGAACTCGGACCCCATTCAAGATAACGGGCGGAGTTTTTTTTTCTTTTTTCCCCTGAACCTTTGCCGGCCCAACTTACCGTGATCGTGTGCATTTTTACTAGGAAAAATATGGAAAGATATCTAACCTAGGGAGTGAGTGGTGAATTGTATTTTATGTATAGTTGGGTTCGCAACTTCTTTTTTCTTTTCGGTTTTTTTTTGCTTTCAAAGCTGCCATTCAGATGGATAGTGGCTCCCCAGCTGGGGCTGTACTGTGCGAGTACTGTACGAGTACTGGGTAAAGTGCACGCAGAGGGATGATGATGATGGGTGTTACCGGGTTATCGCTAATATGCTTGGGGAATTGGACCTGATTTGCTCTGCGCGGACCCACAGGAATTCACGGTGGTTATCTAGCATGGAACGTGGTGATTTGACACGACATGAAGCGCGCTGCAAAGCATCGAATCGGAGGCGCGGTGCTGAATGTGAGGTGGCTCCATAGCTGCGGTATCAACATCATGGCACTATTGGGTACTCTACTCCTCTAGTCTAACGTGAGCTTGTGCTTTCCAAGGCACGACACATGAGATGGTACTCTGCATTACTGATAACTCTATTACCACCGCCAGCAGGAAGCGGTCTATCTAACTCTAGTGTAGTAAGAAATATGTGAACGGGGTCACCCCAAGGCATGCCTAAGGAGTGTCAAGGAACACAGGGGTGGTACTCCTGTATCCAGTAATCACCGTACCTTCCTCGCAACCCAGAACTGTGCCTCATAAGCATTCCGACTCAAGCTCTCCTTATCCCAACTGTACCCTGCCAGACATCCACGCACTTTCCCCCTCCACTCAGGTACTTGATTATTGAAGCTATCCGCACCAAAGCGGTCATCCGTGGGCAGCAGTTTGAACCCCAATCTCTGCGCTATTTGCAGTATCTCCTCCAGCGATGGCTCGACCCACGGGCCAGTTCCATAGAGCAGCGGCCCCAGGTTAATCCAGGTCCCACCAGCCTTGAGCACAGCATAGATGTTCTCGGGGTGCTCGACGATGTTCCTAGCCGTGTCTATGAAGAACAGAGTAACGACCACGTCGTAGGATCCCCTCTCGCTGTCGTCTAGGAATAGCTTCGTAAAGTCCCCTTCCAGCAAAGTGTGCCTTTTGAGCGCCTCACCGGAGAATTGGACCTCCGAGAAGGTGATGCCTCGGAGAACATTCCTGCTCTCCCGCTGATGGGACCACCAATTCACAAACGGGTAGTAGGTGTGTTGGATCCTTTCCCCATCATGATCAGCGAGTGATAGCACCCATCTGTGCGCCATCGTCATGTAAAAGCTGTACTCGTTCGCGATAGTGGTAAAACCGAGCGCACTTATCTCGTACGCCAACCTGCCAAGGCCGGCGCCTGGCACAAGGATTTTCTGCCTAGCCCTCGAATCCCCTCCCCCGGGAGATAGGGTTTCCAGGGTTTCGAGGATTTGCGCAAACGTTGACTCCCGCTCGTGGGCTCCGGTGGTGGACCAGTCGCGGACGAAATGTTTGAGGGACTGCACGACCGAAGTGTGGTCACCTATTGGCCGCGGGTCGGATTTGTGTGCAGACTGGAAACGCAGGAGGTCCGGGAAGGGTATGTTGTAGAACGCTAAGCCATAATCGAGGATTTGCTGGGCTACCCGGCCGTTTTCCCTGATGAGACTGGATGTCTCGCCCAATCTCTCGAGGTAGCCAGATGGCATTATCTGGTACTGGTCAGCTTTCCTCTATAATTAGATATATCGTTGCAATGCATAGCAGAGCCAAATCCGGACCTCTCTTTGTCTGCGACTAAGCTTCCACCACCTGCTCCTCTTCTCCTGAACCCCGGCCTGCGCTCTATCGCTGTACTCCAACAATCCCACCATCGCTGCAAGCAATCTCCTCCTTGGATGACTCTCAAATCCCTCCCATCCCGGCGTCGCACGCACCTGTTCCAGAATATCCTTCCTCCCGCTGCCCTTTACGCTCTCCGCAGCTGCAAAGTCCACAATGTCGTCGCCGGACACTTTAGGAGACGGTATGGGGGAGCTTCTAGGATAGACAATGTTCTGGAAGGAACGTAATAAGAGCGGATACTGGGCCGCTGCAATGAGTCCGAGGCAGGCCAGGAGCATCCAGATGCTACTACTTCCCGCGCTTCGCGCCATTTGGTCCACCGATGTGGGAGTAAGCATATTTTCTAGCATGGGGTACAGTACCCGTGCTATAGCGGGGGAGGCGAATAACTCGTGGTTGCTACGCGCTTTATGGAACCAGACAATGCGGCCACAAAGGTGTCTGCCAAGACCTTGTCTGCATGAAAGTCCGATACTGGCGGTCTAGCAATAGAAGCGCAAGGACTGAGAGATGGCGTCCTTACCCTGCCGGCACTAATGAACAGTATCACAGTTTTGGGGGCACATGATATCGTGTTTTCCGAGCCAGTACAGACCGGAATTGGGGCTATGGCTTTGCTGGTTATTGTTGATTATGACAGAAGCAGCTTGGGAATGGAATGACATCGGGACTACACTAGTATCCGGACAGATAGAACACAAAAATTTGAGCTACTTCCGCAATTGATAAAATCCTGGCGCATATTCCAGCAGCCAATCCTTCTCAATCACGGTAACCTACAAGGACTCCGTTAGCAAACGAACCACTCATATACAATTATTGCGAGACCAAGATAAAATAATAAAAAAGAAAGTGAGTGAAAAGGTCTTACATCTCTAATGAAAGTCTTCTTCCCGGTCTCCACAACCTCATGAAAGACAACCCAATCCGCCTTTCTATTGAACATGACGCTGCTCGGGTGAGCCCACAGCTGCATACCATTAACACTCCGGAAGCTCCCATCGGGCTGCATCCTAGCCGCATGCGCGAAATACCCCGTTGCCAAACACCTCCTTATGCCCTCGCCCGTCGGCGTGCCACCACCGCCCTCGCTTGATACCCGCAGGTTGAATTTGTCAAGGTACCTCCTCAGCTGCTGACAGACGGAAACGGCGCGCGAGAGCGCCCGGAAGTTTAGGTAATGATCTTTGCACCATTTGGCGGCGTTGGGTTTGTTGAACTTTGGGGCGAAGGCCTGGTAGACGTTCAGAAGGGTCAAGTGATCGCCCTCTTCCACTGCAAATTTGCGCTTTGCGGATTCCGCAGGCTTCTTGGAACCCTCGTGGGTTATGAAGACGTTTTGCACGCTCGTCATTGCTGCGATGCTCAAGATTTGGTCGGTGCATTGGAAGTTTACTGAATTCAATAGCTGGAGAGGTTTTTGTTAGAATATAGTAGTTGTACGGGTGTAATACCTTGGAGGTGGAGGAGACCAACTATCTTCGCAGTCATAGGATCCACGGGCATCTCAGCCATCCTCAGCCCCAGCGGTTTGGTAAGTCTAGCATAATCATCCAACGCTCCCAAACTGAAGAGCAACTCCAGCGCTCGAGCCATGAGCTCACTTGGAGGTGGAGTAATGAAATCAAAACGGACCACATTATCTATGCCCAAAGCCTTGAGTTGTAGCAAGACCGGAGCAAGATTACTCCTCTGGATCTCTGGTACCCCCATCTCGGTCATGACATCGTTGAATGCTCTCTGGGTGTACAACCTAAAGCACTTGCCCGTCCTTGTCCTCCCCGCCCTACCCGCCCGCTGCGTTGCTGACGCCCTCGAAACCGGCACAACACTCAAGGCTTCAATCCCCGTCCTGGGATCGAAAGCACGCAGCTTGACGAAACCGCAATCTATCACAAACACAATATTCTCGATCGTGACCGAGGCCTCGGCGATGTTTGTCGACACTATGACCTTGCGATGGTTCTCCGGAGCAGGGTCGAAGACAGCTAATTGCTCGTCGCTCGGTAGTCCCGCATACAGTGGGAGCGGTAAAATTTGCGGTGCTCGTGGGTGAAGATCCCCAGCACGCTCCATTATCGTGGAAATAGCAGTTTCGATCTCCTCACGCCCTGTTAAGAATAACAGAATGTCCCCTTCACCCTCCTATATTTATTCAGCGTTGATGTCAGAGCCTGCACATTTGATGGTTTATCTGGAAAATGCATGTTCATGGATCGTGCCTTCAGGTGTATATCAAAAACAGTCTGCATCGCCTTCTCCAGATAATTTTCCGCAGGCTCTTCAAGGTAGAGCACATCGACCGGATAGCATCTCCCTTCCAACGAGATGATCTTAGCTAATTCCTTCCTTCCCCCATCCCCATCCCCCTCATCTCTGTTCCCACCCCTCTCCTCTTCCCCACTTTCTCCTTCATCCCCAAAAAACCTGGCGAACTCTTCCGCCTGTAGCGTTGCCGAACTAACGACTATTCTTAGGTCCTTTCTCCTCCGCCTTATCTTCTTCAATATACCCAGCAACACATCGGTGCTTAAGCTACGCTCGTGCGCCTCGTCGATCATGACGACTGAATACCTGGATAGCAACGGGTCCACAAGCGCCTCTCGGAGCAACATTCCGTCTGTCATGTACTTTATACGCGTTCGTGGGGAAGTCATGTCTTCGAAACGAATTGAATATCCTACCTATATAAACAGACGGTGGAATTATGCAATAAATCTCGTCAATCAGCCACATGGTATTCCGTAGGTTAGAAGGTTCCGCAAATGAAGGAGCACGGGGGGTAAGGTGAAGGAAAGTCACAATAGCACCAGGGGGGCCCACGCAACCTCTTCGCCCAGTCTTACGCCCATTTCCTCCGCTACTCTTGTAGCTACTGTAGTTGCAGCTACTCGTCTAGGCTGCGTGCAAGCAATGATTTTGCCTTCCTCCGTCCACCTCGCCTGGTGTAGATACTGAGGCAATTGTGTAGTCTTTCCTGATCCCGTTTGCCCAACAACTATCGTAACCGGATAGTTTTCAACTAGGTAGAGTAAGGCATCCCGGTGCCTAGCGATAGGTAGTATAGTAGACGGGCGATAAAGGCTTACAAGGGACTCCTCCGATTCCGTAGCGCGGTCTGCAGAAGCCATTTGGTTATTTGGGAAGGTCGGGGGCTCACCTCTTGAGATGGTGGTTGTATCAAAGTTATGTTAGTTACCGGTACATCCGGAAGGATTTCTTGAAGTTGGCACGACGCTCCAAAATTTGAGCCTCATCACGTGGAAGAGCACAGACCAGGGCATCCACAAACGGTCTATTGCCTACCAAGAAACCCCCGAATAATTCCCTACCAGCTTTTTTCCTGGTATGAAAATCCGTGCCATAAGATACCCCCGTAGATACAGTATATCAAGAAGCTATCCAACGAGATAAAAAAAAAGAAAAAAAAAAGAAAGCAGCTACTGTTGCTGCTAGCACGATGGACCAGCTTTTTCCTCTTCCTTCTGTTCTTCTCCGGGGAAGGGAAGCAATGAGACAAAAATAAATGAAGGGCCAGAAACTGAGGAATGCTTGACAGACCCAAAGCCGAGCAAGGAAGATGAAACCAGTACGATAGAAGGGTATGCCCCAACAACCAGGGGACAAAACGAGTGTAAGAAGGTTAATGAATGCATTCATAATAATACGCCTTTAAGAGTTACCCCAGAACATGAAAATAAAAATGTAAAATATGAATCGAAGGGGATCATGAAAAAAAAATTGACCCGAAGAAATTAGAGGTATCATATGAGTCTCCCTTTTTTTTTTGCCCGAGCCTTTTCTATCCGCAAATGCATATCCCACCCCACCGTTCCCACCGTCCCACCCGCCTGGCTTTTTCTAGCAGGTTGTTGACTCTGATATCCAAATCAGAATTTAATTTGCCGGCTTCTTTCTCGTAGGCTTTGGCATCTTCTCGTATGCGTTCGGACTGGGTGCCCGCTTGCTGTCTCTTGACTTCCCCTTAGAACTTCTCTTGGGACCATGCCCACAATTTTTATTGTGAGCATGGCCACGGCCTTCATCCTCGCTGTCTTCGTCGGAGGAAGAATCGCTCTCACTAGAGGACTCGTCGTATTCATGGGGACGGTGGTAAATGCAGCATACTATTACGGAAAGACATCAGCTTATGTTCAGAGCTCCCATACCTATAGCGTTGTTGTTTGCACATGAAGAGCGGGGCGACAGTTTGATGATCTATGGAAACATAGTGAAACAAACCTTTCGATTTCTTCTTCCCCATGCCTTCATTGTCAATAACATCAGCGTCCCATCTTACTCGCCTGCTCTCGACTGGGCCACCACGAAGCCTAAGTGTGCCATCTGGAACTCTCACTGGACGGATCGATGTTTGCACCGAGGGATCCGTTTCGGTTTGTGTGGCGGATGGCAGAGCAGGGGCCAACTCGCGGCGGTCTGGGGGAGGAAGAAGCATTGTGAGGACGGAGGCGAAGATCGTGGGAGAAGTGGAGGAATCGAGGACAGCGAGCAAGCAAGACGAAGAAAAGGCCTAGGTGATGGAGGAAGTACGACCGAAGATAAGGAAGAAGACTGCGGCTTGGGGAGCGGTGGGGGGGTGAGTGTGCTGAAGAGATGATAAGCACAAACGCAGAGGATGAGGTTAGTCGAGTAGAGTACAGTAATTTCACGCAGACCAAGAGCTTTTGTAGTGGTAATGAACAGGAGGATGAGGTGGTGGTGGTGGTGGTAAAAGTAGGCAGGAGCCGGAGCAGCAGGGAGAGAGAGGAAGAGGGTGTTGAGGGAAGGATGAGCAGGTCCGGAGAGAGCGTTCGGTATCACTCCACCACTTCGCGTGTACCGTACAGTACCTTTAGTTTCATTTGTTTTTTCCAGTCCTTCATTTTTTATTCCGTTCGCTCATTTTTTATTTTTTTCACTCCCCTTCCCAACCCTTGCCTACTTTCTTTTTTACACGGCTGCATAAGGTGCTTGCTGGGCCCTGCTGCTGCTCTGCGCGGATAGGATCCAACAAACCCTTGAGGAATTCGGTATGATACGGCCATGCCATCGGTAGATTAGATTAGATCTTTCGCCCACATGTTTTTCCGTTGGAGCTGTCGTCGGCGTCCTGTATGATACGAGTACCGATACCGGTAGCTGCGCTGGCTGAGCCCTGCTCGCTCTGTGCGTGGAGCCAACCAAGTCGAGGCAAACGTTGGTGGGGCTGTCCTACCGCCATCTTAGCTGCGAAGATTGCTCTGCTCTTGCTTCCACTTCCACCTCCTCTGCTTCTTCTGCTGCTCCTGTCCGACTCCTATTTTCTGCAGTTTAGCAGCTTTGACATACTGCGCGGCTGCTCTACCCTAGAAGTATGGTGCATACCGGTATCCCTTTGCCAAAAGTCTCAGCATATACAATACCTCCTTCCCTACTGTATACAAGTATCAATGGAACTATGGCAATTTTTCCTGGTGTTATTCTAGGGTCTAAGCATCTATCCGTCTGTCGGCTCTTTAATCCTTCTACGAGCAGTCTGGCAGAGGTGAACATTGGAAAACAACCGGCGATGTTTATTGAATTATCTACAAGTACGAGTACGAGTACTAGCTCTGATATTTTTTGACTGATTGTCCGATTTTCCTGACTGGTTTACGAGTACTGTGCTACTCGTAGTGCACAGCTTTCCCTGGATCCGATCCACCCAGGACCCCGCGACAAATGACGCGACACCGCGTCCCTCCTTTCTCCCTCACCCTCCCACCCACCTGCCACTCACCCTCTCACCCTCTCACCACACCCTCTTACGGTTTTCTTGTCCTTCCTTACCATCAAATGCTCATTACCCGCCACCCACAGTTTATTGGCTTGGGTTTCGTCCTTCGATCCCGACTTTATTCTCGATTTAGCTCCCCTCCCCATCCCCCCCCCGCTCGTGTCCAAGCAGCTGGAACGGACTTACAATTGCAGCACCGCACATCTCGTTTCGCAGCTGTTGCTGCTGCAGCACTTGGCAATCGCTTTTTTCCCTTTTTGTCGGCACCTCTTGTCCATTCTGAACCCCTCCACCATGCCTTCCTGCCGTTAAATTTATCAGCCGGCTAAAGCTCGCAGCTGTGCGTGGCAAGTAGGCTGATACCATCTTGCAGAGAGGCTGGAGAAAGAGAGCCAAAGAGGAAATAAAAAAATGAAAAGAGAAACTGTCCTCCATCTGAAGTCTCCTGTTCGCTGGCTCGCCCGTATGTGCCGAGGCTTTCGGGGCCGGCGACCAACGAGTCTGCGTCCCACTCCCGAGCCTTCCCCATAGGGTAGCCTAACATCAAATGGGCAAAACGGGCTCCAACACCTTCTGAGCCACCGAGGCAGGGCGTTTCCCGCATTGAAACCCCCAGGTGGTTCAGTTCGCTTCCACACAGCGAGTCCCACAGACTGCTCGGTCATCATCCGGCAAGAACCAGGACACAAAGCAAGGGCCAGAAGGCGCGGCGTGAAGAATTGCCCCAGGGGGTAATACCATTTCACACAATTACCACAAAGCGCAAAATCTCGTCCCTTTGGACCCTTCCCTTTCCTCTAAAGGCTCGCAACTCTTCGCCACACCTTGTTTACTCACTGGCGTATTCTGGTTCTTCCCAGATGATACGGTGCGATCAGCGTTTAGACCGCGGATTCATGTACGAAGTACTATTCACACGACAGCAAGCGAGTTGTCTACCGGCCTGGCCAGACCCCAGTTCAGCGTCGATACGAAATATAGAAGGGGGGTCTATCATATCACCAAACCGCACCCACGCGGGGGGGGGTTTCTTGGAAGTTTTAGAAGCCTATTCGGTGAACCATGCCACTCGTGCCCCCATTGTATGCCATAAACACATCACAAACAGGAGCGTGGGGCCATAGGATGTGTACGTAAGGGAAAATAGGCTTTCCACGAATAATTGCTGCAAAACGGGAGTTTGCTTTGACTACCGGTATCATGGCTCCCTGGTCGGGGTAAGAGTTAGGCAATTTGGGCGCCCACGCATTGACCTCTCTGATAAGCTAGGATTCTCTGGAACCGCTCTCTCGGATTGGACCAATTTCTGTGGGCGTTTCCGTCCCGCCGTCCGCTGCACAAGTTAGTTCGTACAAACTCAGTACTCGAGTACGGTACGGTACAGTACAACAGCAACCCCAATGTTCGCCTTACTCTGGCCCAGTACCCGCTGCCTTTTTTCCAGAGTGGTTACGCTACTTTTTTTTTATGGACACATACAACGAGGTGCAGTGCCACTGGAGTTCGCCCCAATGAGGCCAACCGTAGGGAACGACGCGGATGACCCAATCTACAGGAGTGCGAGAACTTTCACCGAATAAAACCCTAGACCGCGAACACCCGGGATCGGAATGCCGGCCCGTAAGTTGGGGAGAGAAAGTGAAAAAACTCGCCAGAGCAAATCGTCGCTACTAACAAACGATTACTGGACCCGGAGGGGGGGGAGGACTACGGAAGCACCAATGAAACATATAAATCACAATGGAAAGATGGATGAACTGGAACGCGTGGGTTTGTACAGTAGCAAGCAATTGGTTCCGGGTAGATCATCCCCCCACACCAAGCATTTATACCCACCCCCTTCCCCGGACCAAACCCTTCGCAAGTGATTAGAATAAAATAAAAATGTAAAAATAGAGAGGACGCGAGAGTGGAGGAGAGGAGGAGGATGTACCGTTTCCTATTTACAGTATCATACAGGAGAGCATTGTGCCGGTACAAGTACTCAAGGTAGAAGAGGACACAGTACCGGCAAGTACTTGTCACCCGTAATCAACCGACTCCAGGCCACATCGGAATACCGTTTCACCACCTAGGATAGTCTTGCTATCAGCTCTTACAGCGCAAGCGCCAGGAGATGTTTTCGTACAGGGACTGTTTTGCTGGTAAACCTAAATTAACTATTCGCTAACTTATCATGGGTGTTTGTATCGCACTGTATGTTCTGTACTGTACTCGAGTACCGTGCGGGAACCCCCGTTGCACGATACCTGGTGTGATAGTCTAGCCCATTCACCCTCACACTTTCCATATCGTACAGATGTAGGGGCCCGTTAACCGGAACTGATAGGGATATATAACCTCAAATAACTGCTCTGCAACTTCCTGCTAGACCTTGTATTCCATTACAGTACCTATAGCATAATATACACTCGAATATCGCGCCATACTTCTATCAATACCCTCAACAAGCCGATATTTTGCGGGAGTCCTCACCAGACACCCGGCTTGTGGAGGCATTCCTGACATAGGCGCTTGGGCATATTGCTTGACAACTGGTGGGGAAGCGGAAAAAGACATCCGCACATGCACCCTCCTTACCAATTCGAGAAGACTGGCCCAAGTTAACCCCCTTCAACTTCCTCAGACATTGGTTGGTTCGCCGTACTCGAGCAAAGGAGCGAGGAAATACCCTAATCGCTCGTCTCGCGTGAATATTCCGATCCCGCACAGCTATGATAGCCCGACGGTGAGCCAGCCAATAATTAGTTAGCTACTAACTTATAGCTAAACCATCAATTGCGGGTAAAAAAACTCCCAAGTACTCGAGTATTTCCAAGCCAACTACCTCGGCTTGTTTGGACATGTCTTTCTTTCTTTTTCCTTTTTCTTCGTTTTCTCGCTCCTTCATTCCGAGTCTGGCTTTTTTCCCTCCTACCGATGATACCTACTACCTGGTTTACCTGAACATATAGCTCATAGGAAAATAGACAATGCAGTCTCGTCCCTGCGAACGGTTCAGTTCTCCCCTCGTGTCTGGTGGGGCTAGCATGAACTTTTCTCCCTTCTCCCAAACTCTTTTCCCCTACCGTCATACTATTGCCCCTTCCCTCCCTCACGTTTCCCCGCGTGCCCGAATTCGTTTTGTTGCAGAATTAATCATTGATACCACTCTGCACGCGTCGCTCGGTACTGTATGATATCAAGGCTGGGAATAACACTTTCAGTGTGGCTGGAGCTTTGATACCGTATATTGCCCGCCATACACTAGTCTTTCAGCGAAGGCCGACGGTCCGAGGGGGGGGCTTTTTTTTATATACTCTCTCTACTTTCCTTACCCTTTTAAAAGTTTTTTTTTTTCTTTTTCTTTATTGGGTCCTTCGATCGGTGAATCTGGTGGGTTCGCACGGGTATCGAATCTGGTATGGGGATATTTAGTGTGATAGTGCTGTGCCGGTAGTAGGATGGGGTGGTTGCTTCGTTTCTTCCGGGTTGGTTTGGGGGACGGCAGGTGGCAGGTGGATGAGTAGTGAGCTCTACCAGGAAAGGAGGAAGTGGTGAGGGCGAATCGAGGAATTGAATTGAGGGAGAGAGATCTTGGCCCACGAGGAGGTAGCTATACAGAAAGCTATACGAGCTCTATGTAGGAAGCCAGCTAGCTATTTTTTTTCGTGCTCCAATTAGTATGTTTCTACTGCCGGCTCCCCACTCCGCAGCTATTGCGATGTTGTTTATGTAGCTATCATAGTGGAACAAATTACCGATTTATTGTGGTTACGGTAGTTGGTCTGATAGCTTGGTGACTAGCTACCATGTACTCGAGTACTGTACCTTTGCTAAAGCTTGCCCACCCATAAGCTAGCCTCCTCCTTGCCGTAACTTCTTGGCCACGCTCTCGTCAAACAAAGGAAGCCCCATGCTCTAGCTTATCGCATGCCGATAGATACAAGGCTTCCCTATTCAAAAGGCTAATTGACCCTCCCTCTCTTCCTCCCTTCATCTCGCCCTCGCCAAAGAACCGACTTGTATCAAGTCAAGCGGCTCCCCCTTTCGCGTTTATTACCCGCTGTACCAACAGCTCTATTTCAAATCCGCCCTACCAGTAGCGTGCAGCACGGTGTGTGCAGTACTGCACGTCAGCCAAATTCTTCAACCAACCAATCAGCCAACCCAACACACTACGAGTAGATCAGTGAGAAGGAAAAAAGGAAAAGAGAAAAAAAGAAAAAAAAGCCCTGACACGACGAACCCCATTGAGGGATCTACAATACAGCATGATGATACTATGATAATATTATGATACTTTTCCCACGTACCAACCCCTTCCCACCGCGCAGCGCAAACAAACCCTTAACCTAACCTGATCTAGCCTAACTACAGCACCGGTTTGATACGGTACCTCGAGAACCGCACATCACGTGCACAAACCAATAGGAAC